AATAAAGGATATTTTTAGTTTAAGTTGGCTATTAGCATAATAAAACTTTACAAAAAAAAAATGCCGACAAAAGCGTCATTAAGCTCTACTAAAGTTTTCTTTCATTAATACTTGATGCTATATCTTCGGGGGGTGAATTGGCAAATTCATGCCTTTGATAAACAAAAATTTCGCAATTGAGATATTCTCTCGTCTCGAAGAGCCATGTTCAAGCTTTGGGAAACGCAGTTTTCCAATTAAATTGGATGATTTCGAAATGATTTCTATAAACATACTTAAAAGCATAGAATTGAAAATTATGGAGTTTTTTTACCCCGTTTGGTTTTGCTTTGTCGTGTTTTGTTTTGTTTTTTTAATTTTTTTACTCTTCTACGATTCAATTTTAGAAATTATTTCCTCGACTAAGTTTAATTCTTTGCAGCTGTGATCTGATCTCCTTGGGCTGAATGCTGGCAATATCTAACGAATCAGGACTGTTACGCGTTATTGAAAAATTTACCCTCAGATTCATTTGGATCTTGTTGTAGTCTGTACGTGCATACCGAAAAATTTAATAGTTTCAAGAAAAGACATACCAGCAGGTGCTTCGACGTCTAAAAAACAATCCTAATTTTGAGCAATTGTTTGATCAGTTTTGATACTATTCAGCGCGGCATGACTCTACACAGAGCGCTTAGTTGCTGCACGACTTGATCTTGCTGATTGACCGTTGTTAAAGACGATGACTTCTATTGAAATCTTGTCGACAGCACTTGTCGACCAGACAACGTTTACGTAAGAAACACAGTCGGAAAGTGTTGTTTTTCTCTATGAGGGATTAGGAGCCATCTCACTGCTAGAGCTAAGCCCACAGAGAGTAATTTATGCGGTTTTCGCACGGAGAATAGGAAAAAAACAAGACTAACGCGTTTGTGTGTTTCAGTGGTCAATCAAAACATCGAGGGTGCTGAAGCTGTGGGGATAATTCACCAGGGAATAATTCTGGATTCATTTTAACTCCTTTGCTCCGTATAGACGCAAAAGCAAGTGCATCGTAGCCTTTTCTGTGTGTCCAAAGCGAATCAAAGGGTTTACGTTTCCAGAGTGATGGCACTTCCATAAGATCATTATACTGACCAGGGAGTAATTAAAGAGGAGCAATTTAACGAGCCAGCTGGAATATCCATTGATCAAAACAAAAATGTTTTCGTTGGAGATTATGGAAACCACAGGATCTAGATCCTTATGATCAGTGGCAAAGGTGTTATATGGATTACTTTGGAGATGAAGAAAGCCTGTGTATCGTTATGGGTTGTCTATAGACAGCGAAGGATGAAAAGAAAAAAAAAACTGTAAACTGCTCAATATGAGGATAAAGTGCTAGAAAATTCAGGCGATCGCTGTCTGTAAAACAAGTTCCTCACGAACACCAAGATCTTTGTTCAGTAACACGGAACTAATCGTGCATTGCATAATGACGGAAAGAATCACTCATTATAATTCCCTCTTTCAAGGCAACGACGAAGACACGTTCATTGGTTAATAAGGGGATAGAGGCCAATGAAGTCTTTTCTCTTTAAAGTGAAACGCTAAAGACAATACGTGGAAATGATCCTTGTATTAATCCAACCCACGGCGTTCCGTATGAAGGTAGCCCTAAGACGTTTGATGCTCATGAACATTACAATACAGTTTCTGACAGCGACAGAAACCTCCGCTCAGCTTCGGAAAACAAGGAGGACAACGAGGCGAGTTGAAGGGCCCGCGATATTTTTAGTCCAGTAAACAAAGCAAGATAGGTCATGTCAAAACCACAGAGTGCAAGTGTTTGAACGGCACGAAAGGCCGATTTAGAAAAAAAGGCGAGGATATGGGCAACTTCAGTCTTTCTTCGTCTTTGGCCATCCTAAGAAATAGTCAAATTGTTGTGTTCAGAAGATATAACGATCATTTCAGATATTTGATCGATTGCTAAAAATATTACCCTTCTATCGTCCAGTGTGATCGATTGGGTGTGAGCTGTCCTAAGAAGGACTATTATGGTTGACAATGAGTGAAGTTTCGATGACCTAAACACATGAAATCCTCAGAGTCAAGAGAAGAGTTGTGTGACATTCAGATCATTACAGGCCCGTTTAAAACCTTAAGCTAGTCTCTAAGATGTTTTTTATATCTGTGTTGTACGACACCTACCACTGTGAAAAATATATGCAGCAACTAGAAATTAGCCACTGTCTAAGTCACGCCCATTTAATCGAGTGTTTTAATTTCATCTTAGCCTTGTTACAACAAGAACGAGTGATGCTGAAGCAGGAATAACTTTTTATTTTTTTCCTTTTCCATAACGGTTCATCATCGCCTCTTCCGCAGAGTTTACATGGCGACTACTTAAAGCATCCTTATAGCCGTTCACTTGTCACTGCGTGGTCCAAAGTCGTTTTATGCTCTGTGCAGTCATAAATCAGTTTGAAAACCCATAAAATTAGGAAAATTCCAGATAAAAGTGAAAAAGTCAAACGACGGGCTTCTGCTATCCGCGTTCATAAATCATTTTTCTTTATTTCACAATTCGTGGGAACAAATGCGATTCTCGTCGTTAGAAAAGCAATTAAAAGAAGATCTAGAATGATCGGGATAAATTTGACTACGGAAGGCTCTTGTGATAAATTTTAATTCAGTTCGCCTGATTAAAAAGGGGCTATGTTTGTCACTATGTTTGTCACTATGTTTTGGTTTCTGACAATAAGCTGCAAAGCAGCACAAAGTTCGAATATGTCTTTTGTCTTAACCTGTAAACTGTTGGCTTATACCGATTCTTCTCTTCTCTATGATATTTAAATATATAATTGAAAAAAAAAGGACTAAAAGAGAGCTTCCTTTCTCCTTACTTCATGTTTTAAATTGCTAGTGCAGCCGTTTAAGTCCAAAAAAATATCCAATAGAAAATAACCTTTCGGCGGTTTTCTTTTAGAGCTTAATGCTTCCGCGGTGTGGTGCTGTAAAGGTTGTTAAATTATTTAATTACATCCTGAATTAGTTACCACGTAGACCTATAAATTAAACTAATTAATCTAATTTTCTGTGGTGATCCATTCGTACTGTTTAATTCAAAGAAATAAGCTTGAGTTAAATTTATCTTTCTATCAATTATAAGTAATTCCAAGTAAATAAATGGAAAATGTATTAAAAGACGGACGGTAGTCAAATTTGGAAAAGGCTTTTAGGGATTCTTCCCCAATGGTCATTTATTACACAAACTTACATTTAGATGCACTAGACAAAAACTCGAGGGTATATTTATCAGGCTAAAAAGCCTAGAAAAATTAAAAAGAAAAAACCGCATCAAAAGTTGAATTATTTTTTCAGTGCAGTGATATCAAAGCTCTAGATCACAGAGACTTGATAGGTATGCAAGTTCTTTATTCGGATGGAAAGTGCAACCGAGAACTAAGCAAGCAAGATACAGTAGGCTTTTCAACTCAGTCTACATCTAGCTCTTCTTGAGGTGTTCTTTGGGGCGTCGACCCTTTTATTATGAAAGAAGACCCAACTGGGTGTCCTGCAACTCTTTCATAGTTTATTGATGTTGTGAGAACAGGTAGATGTGTAATACGTTTATTGATCTCATGGTGAAGCACCACAGTTTTTGCCAAAAAAAAATACATCAGATTTACGAAAGTATCATCTGTCATGGTTGTCAGCAAATACGATGAATAATATCAGATGCAAGACTTATTTAAACGTTTTTTTTAAAGGTTGGGATGTGTTGATTGCTCAGTCTGTATGCAAAAAGAGGAGCTTTTGTGTTCAATTGATGAAAGTTCTGGAATTAATCCCTTCTTTATAATAAATTAGTGGTATGACGCTCGCTAAACTTTCATCATTAATTGAAACGCAGCTTATTCTCATAGATGTGACGCCAAACAAACGAAAAACGACAAGTTATAACGTTAATGACCTAACTTTTTCTTCTCGTTACACTTAGCTAATAAAGTGGTGAAGCAAGGATTTTGACCATAAAAGTTAAAATTTTTTATGAATTCACTTACGAATACGTTGGTGAATCAAAGAGGGAAACTTCTCAAATATCAGAGAGGTTTCATCGATGCAATCTGAGGCCAATATCTTTCTGATCATTAGGAAACATGAACCGAAAGGTTAACGAATACGACAGCTAACCGAATGGCATAATAACTTTGCACGTCCAATTCATTTAACTCGAAACCTTTAAGTGAAGGTGCTTACAAAATTGTTTATCATTTGCATACGACTTCATTTACCTTCTAGAATTTAATCGTCGCTATATTATTTCAAAAGGTCTTATCATGAAATAATCATAAAATAACACGCAGTAAGTATAAAGCTGATAAATTAACTGTCTTTTAATTCGTCAGATTTTATCATGTGACTGGCGCCATGAAATAATTTTGTGAGTTAACTTGTCAAATTTCCTCCCAATAAATATAATTCGAAATTAGATATCCTTTACATTGGGCAAAGCGTATAATTGCTATACTTAACTCAATGTGGCTTGTGTGAAAATTAACGCCTATTTTTCTTTACCTCCTCGACGCCATAAATTTAAGGAAATTAACATAACAAAAAGTTGATTTTCTCTTAAGAAGTAAGTGAACCCATATTCTAGATAAAACTAGATAAAACCTGAATAAGAAAAAAACTTGATTTCGTTTCGCTCATAGACTTTAAAAAACATCAACCTTCGTATTGTTATACGTTTTGAAAACGTACGAAAAATCGCTACATGGAAGAGGAGGACAAACTGATATTAATTTCGGCGGAAAAAAAAACGAAAGCATTAATATGATATAACCACCTGAGGCCACCTTTTGTTTTGAAAAAGCTTTTTACCAAAGAATCTCTTTTGATAACCATTCAACTGTAGAGTATTTTCCTTTTAATTAAAAACCCATATGCGACTGATTATGAAGCAAAAACTTCCTTGAATTACTGAATCAATTATTATTGTATAAAGCGTGCTTTGTTAAGTGTAAACTTCATTTGGTTACGGTAATCTCCAGCAAAGCGGGTGATAAAATCGGAAAGGTTGACTGATACGTCGAAAACGTGAGTACATACACAATGTGCATGAGCAGGGAACATGTCCAAATTCAATTGGTCTTTAAGTCTGGCAGTTTCTTAGGTGAAAAAACATTTCCAAACACACAAAAAGAAATTATTTTTTTGCTTGTGTGTTCTCTCGTATGACTTTCAGTTTAAGTTCCGTGTTCGGGCGTGTTTACAGAATTTTCTTTTTTTCGCTCTTTGATAAGGATTATGACTTTCGCTTGAGTGAACAACCTGAAAAACCATAGAAAGCGATTATCAGGTTTTTTAAATTTTTTGAAGGTGATATCATGTTTAATGAAACAGTTTGCATTTCAACGAGGGCAGAATTTGTAACTGTAAAGGCAATTGAAATATCGCGTAGGAGTGAAATTGAGGTCAAGAGCTTAAGGCAATGTAGTACAGCGCATAATTCTGCCGCATATCTGATAATCTGAAATAATTTTAGAGTAACGCCCTCAAGTAACTAACTGAAGTTTCTTTTAGCCTGAAGAAAGGATGGTACGTCGTCGGCGCACCACAGAAGACAGTGATCTCATCACAAAGGTATGATGTTACCTTATTCGATAGCAATTCATTTTTGAGCGAGGTTAAGGCAAAAAAGGTGCAGTAAGAGACCAGTAGAATTTCTATCAGAATAAAAATATTCTGGAGATCACAGAAACGTTTAGCACTTGTTATGGATAACTGAAATACTGTAGTATTCATATGTGTGTTTTTGCCCAGTGTAAGCGGAGCTAAGATGTGTATTTCCTCTCAGTAGATCTTATTCAGATGGTGCCCCAGGTTTTACTCAAAGACTTGTAAATTTGAGTCACTTTGTACATCATAAAGAACATTTTACATAAAATACTTCTCAGATGCTGTCATTTGAATGGTCAAACATAAAGGTTTCATCCTCACACAAATTTGAAGTTAGAGGCATCTTTTTCACCAATGGGAACACTGCCTATTTAAATGGTCAGGTACAAAGATCATATTCATATTTAAATGTCGGAGCCCTCTAGAACTGCATCATAGACGTTGTAATGGGTGACAAGGATGACAGGTATTACGTCAGCCTTTAACAAATTATACAGCCATTTTCAGATTGAATATAACATGAGAATACCTAAGGTGCTTTAGAACTTTCAAAAGCTTTTTCGTAACTCAACCTTGCACCGAAGAGAGTACAATACTCCATATGAGAAGCATCTTAAAGCTGCTATTTATAAAGCTGCTCAGTAAGGTTTTTAAGTAAAAAAAAAAAAAACGTTAAGTACACATAACAGATGTACCATAAGTAATGCTAAACAACAGTGGCCTTTAATTTTGCATCAGAAAGCATTTCTTAAAATATAAGGATCATATATCCGAAGTGTTAAAACCGGGTTCTAAAGTCTCCGCCATCGGCAGATTACTATTTCTAACTAGGAGAAATTTTCTGGTTTAAGTAAACCGAACTTGTAACAAAACAAAGACAATGACTTAAATATAACAGTATGTGCCAATTACCACATCGATATGGTGTAAGGCGCGCCTGTGGAAAAACAGAAATACAAGATTTCGCAATAAAGTTAATTGAAAGTAGCACCAACGATCCTTCTGTCGGGAACTTGATCGGTGCTTAGAGCTAATCCAGCATTTGCGTCTAGTTCGGTTTTAATTCCTGTCGTGAGAAATGCATAATTGGGACTAGCCGTAAGAGGGGTTTCGATCGAAATTATAGAAATTTGAAGCCAAGAAACTAAATGCAAAGCTGTTAACCTATTTCAGAACTTTCACATCTTCTGGATTAATTAAAACGTGTCTTTAAAAGCCCGACCCAGCTACTCTTTTAATCTTCAAGATATTGAAACACACGCTCGAGAAACTTCAGATAGCACTTCCTCGAAAAACTGAAACCATGCTTGGCAGATAGAGCCAACATTTGTGGTACATGTCACTGCATTTTAAACATCGTCAGAAATTGCTACAAAATGTTATCTTCTGAAAATGATATTCTTTTCACGATTTGAACAATAAAGAAACTGATCACGTTTGACGTATAATTTGCAATCAAAGGGAGAAAACAGGGAAATTTTCAGTCATAATACGAGCAAGGGGAAGTTGTAATTTTCCTTTCCTGTTCAGTGATGTTATTAGCAAAAGTAGAACATCACGCAACTTCCTTACTTGACAAGTATCTACATTCCCATCACCTATCATCTTAGTAATTATCTGATATTTTACGGGAAAATTGGATTTTTTATACAAAAGTTACAATTCAGTTGTAAAGTTTACAATATACTATTGACACTACGTACTATCGTTCTCTATGGCAAATATTTTGTAAAGAGGAAAAGATAAAGGGAAAAAGTCTTCTCCTCTAAACTCTCAACTATAGGCTTCCAAAGATCGTGACGTTATTTTAGCAGACCAGCTTTAAAGACCAACAAACTGCGATATGAAACGCTGAAGCATGCGATGGTAAGATCCAGTCAAAGGCTATGGTGAGAGCCCAAATGGCGATGAAGTTTGTGACTTTTTACGTTTGGCGAAACTTTCGTATTAAAACCAAAAAATTTCAAGTTTGTTGCTTATCTATCCTCCTGCCCTATTTTGTTTATTCCTACCTCTTTAAAGGTCGTCTGACATAGCCAGCTTATACTCTCATTCAACTTAGTTTGCTTTGATCGGGTTACCATGTGAGAATTTACGAGAAAGAAGCGCAATTTTAAAGGAACCACCGCTAAGATATTTCGAGTAAGTTTGCGTCTTGAGCAGCTTCTTTCAAACTTAACGAGACCAATTTGGCAAAATATTAGTTTGGTGAAATGTAAAAATTCAATAGAAGGATTAATTAGTCAAAACGAAAGAAGGTTGGAGAAGAAACAAAATTGTTGCAATTGTACATTTGGAAAATTTTTCAAGATGAAACGAGTTTTTAACTTAAAGAAGACTACACTGACGAAAAATTGAAAAGACCAAAAAGAGAGAAATATGTTAAAAAAAGGGAAAAAATTATTTCGAGAGATAGAGATGATTAAAACGGATTTCAAATAAGAACGAATTACAGAGTAAAATTAATTTTCCAAGATGAACAACGACGTACATGCAGATTCATTAAAAAGCACAAGGTGTGTCTAGGTTACATGAAACTGAATAACTTAAAGTCCTTTTTTGACGGCAGGTTTGTTTTAAATTAACATTAAATTTTTTCATTGAAAAGTATTCCACGTATGTAGTAAATGCTACCTCTAATATTATTTTCTCTATAAATAGAGCTGTCGCACGAATGACTTTATCGCCACGTATTTCAATAGTCATTCTATCATTGACGTCTTTCGCCATTGTAATGCAAACCTTGAAACTATTCCAAAAATAGAGCTGACGTAAACCTGAATTCGTCAGCACATATGCCACAGGTGAAATGGTTCATCTTATTCCCTCTTTGCTCTTAAAATAGAACTTCGAAACAATGTTGATACACGAGCAAGTTTCGAGTAACATCTCGAACCACCTCACCACCATTTGTGCTGCGAGAACCTTCTGAAGTCAACATATGAAGAGTGTTGCGTTTACAAAACTTCACTTTTTTAAAACTGATGGCTCGATTCTTTAAATCGAAATTCAGTAGTTATGATTCAGTAATTAGTATTTCCTACGGATTCAGCGTGGGAAAACCGGGCAACAAGTGTTTGTCGATCGAGAACAAAAAATCGCCTCGCAAAGTATAACTCGCAAATGGTTTTAAATGAAAATGGTATAATCTCAATTTTATCAAAATTAAATTACTTTTTCGGTAAACCAACTTCATTTTTAAAAGTGACAGTACAAACATAATTCATAAAATGGGATTTCAAGGACATTCTTTTGATATATTGTACATGATCATTATTTCATTAAAACACACCCGCTCTTGTATCACTGACAAAAGCAAAGGAAATATAGTGCTCAGTATAGCACAACTGTAATATACCGGTGGGTGAGAGTAATTATCACAATTTAATAAGCAAACGTGTACCTTCTTATCAGAAAGTTATTGCATGACCGAAAGAACAGTTATTAGCTTATCGACCTAGGGCAGATACCAGTTTTTACCACTACAGCACTTGCACGGTCAGTAGATACGAAGAGAAAAAAAACACTGGTGGGAAATTGTCTTCGATGACCACGCAAATTTGCGGAACAAAGCTTGTAAGAAGGTGAGCCAGTATGATAAACCCAATATCCGAACACTTTTTCGAATAGTGTGTGATTAAAATTGTGAAATGAATGCCCAATATTCGTGTCTTGAGAGAGGTTTCCTCAATTTGAGGTGAAATCAATATATAACTGAGTCACGCTTTTGATAAAGAGTTTGGGAGTCATTCTAACAACACATTTCAGGCGACCCAACGAAATTTTACGAGAGCGCCTTGAATAATGATCTGAAGCATTAAGAAATGAACAGTCAAGTACTGTAAACCATTAGCCTTGCTTGAAACTGTACAGGTGTCTGAGTATATTCTTAAAGAGAGCGTCAGTTCATTGCCTCGGGCTGTAATAACTTCTAGGGAAAAAATTGGTTGTTTTATTAAGTATTCTATTCCTAGCAGCTATTAGCGGCATTATATCGCTCTCTGAAGGCGACTGTTAATCTTTTAGAGTTGGTGACGGCGTAAAGGCGGGCATGAAAGCTGCGACAACCGGTCTAAAAAATCGAAATTAGAGGCTTTCTCGAGATTCGTAAATTGGAAATCGCTGATATTTTGGTGTTGTACATTTTTAGCATAGATTACGACTGCCCTTTAACAGGAAGAACAATTCCGAGATAAATATTTAAACGAATGTCGAGAAAACCATTCTATTGTCTTGTTCTTGTCAACGAGACATAAAAATAAGAAATTAGAAAAAGGTCAATCTTTGTTTTCCATGTTAGATTTTTTTGAAAGGAACAATCATGCGGTTTAAATTTCAGGGAAGTTCTTTCAAGTCATGACAGAAACTTTGCTCCCTCTGGACGTGCTTAGATTGTTGGAAATCCTGAAGACTCTGGAATTCTCGATGCCGAGAGCTTCCTATCTCCACCATGATTATGTTTCCAAATCAGTTGGACCAAGCTTTACAAATTGTAAACTGTAGTGTCTTACCAATACATTTCCATCTGCCTGTACGGGAAACGGCATTTTCGGCAAGATGTCGTATTTTTTATCATTATTATTTTTTTTTTTCAGTGAACAACGCTCCTGAATTTTGATAGGACATTAAAAGACAAAACATTATTTTAATCGCTATGTTGTAAGTTCCGCACTTGCCAATGCGATGATTTCATTAAAACTCTGTACGAGAACAAGCTATCTCACATGTAGACAGAAAGTTCTAGATTGTTCTTAATGATATCGTTTAATTTTCCTTCATCGCCATATGCAAGCAAGGTTTAACTGCAGATCTGTATTTCGATTGGGGACATTTAAGACCTTCCTCTGAAAATCCTAAAATCGTGCTTCATAAAAATGCCTACTGACAAACTCTCAAGAATCAGGAACTGCAATATTGTACTAATACGTCTCCAACAACTATTAACCTGAATCTATTTTTGCTCCAGAAAAGTTGATATCAAATTTTATGGCTTTGTATTTCAACCCACTCTTTTCTAAGACAAAAGGGTATAACAATGAAACAAGCAAAGAAATCCTGTAATAAAGCGTCGGAGAAATTAGACAGAGACAAAAGTGTGTCTGAATTCCAGACAAATTCAAGCAAAAACTGGAGCGTGAGAACTGTGGAAGTTTGCTAAAGAGCTGTCGTGAGGGAATAAAAAGGAAAAAGGAAGTTAAAAGGCCTAATCTCAGAGTTGATCGCAGAGACTTCTAACACTGCCATAGTGAGGTAATCGGATATGCAAACGTAGGAAGTGCGAGCAAATAGGTCTCATATGATAAGTGATTTCAAGCTTCAAGCCTCTTAATATCATTTTAAGGCCGGAATAACACTTTCCCCACCTGCCTGTTACTCTATGAATATATATAAAGGCAAGTGGTCGGAGGTATCGCCGGCTTTAAAGCATTGTAGCGGAGAATACTGTAAACTAGGATTAGAGTGTCAAACTAAAGCACACCTTTGCACACTGAGCTCAAAATGAACAAGAGTTTACTTTATTCAAAATGGGTAGGATTTTTATTACTATTGTTATTTTCTCGTGATTTAGTGTTTTGTTCATGGTTAGATTTTAATAGATAGTTACTTTAGTTGTTAAAAACTTGTCATGATATTCTAGCACTAAAGACACACTCCGATGCCGTTAGTAACTGTCTGATCTCAAATAGATATAAAAGCAGGAGCACCAAGACAATTAAAAGTTAGTAATAATTCTTAATCCTCCAATTGAACCTCAGGAGTTCACGTTTTGCTAAATTATTTGACGGTACTTCTTGTCTTTAACACCAAAAGTGCATCTTGGAACAAACTATCCTTGTCGAAGAAAATTTATGAGCGATTTTTGTTGACACGGAAGATACCCAACCTTTTGGGTTTAATTTTAGTCAATTTTTTTTTAGTCCGTTTTCAAAAACCAAGTTTGCTGGTCGAAAAAAAAACAAGATTGACTATTTAAATTATTAAAGACGTTAACTATTGCGCTATCTTAGCAAAAATTCGTCAATTTTTAACTTTTAAGTCACAACGAAGCTAGAAAACACAAAGCACAGATAACAAAAGTCATAAACAGTTCCTGTCATCTTTTTCTTCCAACAGATTCTCTTTGTCCTAAGCTTCCTCGTCTGCACGATCACCTTCATAAACGGACATCCAAACGCGTTTTCCTATTCGGAATCGAGCTGGACGCCGGAGAGTTCCGAAGATGACGTCAGTTCCCGATCCTTTTCGTACGAAGATATAACACCGTCCGAAGATATGGAGGATTTAGATCCAGAATATAGTTTAGACGACGTGGAGGACGATCTAGAAGATGATCTTTATGAATACGCCTTTTTGACCAACAACAAACGAAATCCAAATTCTGTAAGTATGAGCGGATGTTAGGATTTTGGGCGAAAAAAATATGTTAAATTTCACTCGGATACAATCGGAAAGGGTTCACTTTATCCTGTCTTGTTGTTTTACTGATTTCTCAGGAACACAATACAGGGATGTAATAAAACATCAGGTCACTGGCTATCTTCCATTCGCTAATTTTGATGCAGTTTCAAATGTTTACAAATTTCAAATTAAATTACCGCTTGATTTCGCTAACAATGGCGAATTGTGAAGTACAAAAAATCTCAGAATGAAATATATAAAGGCAAAACATTAAGGAATTGCCCCATGAAATGCTATTTCCTGGACTGGGAGATGTAAAATTTAACCACAAATATAAACAAATTCTTTTCACTCGATACAGATCGTCCTCAATGGCCGGACACTTTAAACGTAATGAGCCTGTAGTTAGGTTATAGTATACAACGGCATTGGGCTGTCCTCCCAGGGTGAGAATGGCATAGTTCCGCAATAGATGTAAAAAAAAAGGGGTAATATAGCAATCTTACGCCATGTAGTGAATTCTTGTTATTGATTACTTGCATTCAATTTCGATGAGAGAGTCTTTCGCAATAACGATAATCAAGAGAAGGATGATTTCATCCATGCATCTTTTTGAAATAGATTTTATTTAACCAATTTATGAAGGGCCTTTCAACTAAACTTTAAACTTAATTCAAATCCTTAACCTTCGAACTAACAGAATACAGAATGTGCCATTTATAAACTCCAAGGCGTCCATTAAAATCCACAGTAACGTTTATAATGAAGAAAGATTTTTTTCAAATTGTTTAGTTTACTTCCTTTCCTTAAATAGCAGCGGGGTATTCGCAAACGAAGTGTTTACGGAAGAAGTTAGGTTTCTGATGCCGTCTAAAGAAATAATCCAAGATTATACTGATATCACGTTATTATGCACTGTCATGCGGTAGTCTAATAGACCAGAAAGGTGCAAAACTGGATACAGATACAGGTACAGGCTGTGTACATGTGCACACCTGCAAATTCTAAGTTTGTTTTCACTTTTTGTACTTCTTTGATAGCTTTGCTCAGATCTAGCTTATTCATGAAACTCCTGCTATCCAGGTACAACAAACGAATATGATACGATAGCCAGATATAGGTTGGTTTTAAATATTCTCTTTTCTTTACTGACAGAATCCAGGAGCCCATTACCCGGAGCCTCCATACCAATTGTACTCTTGAGTCAACCCTGTTCCGTATCTTTTTATTATTAAAACTGAGATATGTGAAGGGGGGGATTTTCTTTAATTTCCTGCGAAAACACGCCGACGTTCGCATAATAGCCCAAAAAAATGGTAAACTTTCCGCACTTTTCACCGTTATATTTTCACCGCTCCGAACAATTTTTTTTTCTCGAAGATATTAGCTCTACAGCTACACTGAATTTCGAGCTTAAATAAAGTATATGTATGTATGTATGTATTGAAATACTTTCGTGCGGCCTGCATGTGACGTAAACAATAGAGGACAATAGCTATCTTATGATTGACTATTATGTAAAGATCCGCAAAGAATCCCGTGGGAGGTGCCTCTAAAGTTAAAAAGATACGGTACAGGGTTGACCCAGAGGGTAAGTATGGAAGATGGAAGCTCCGGACAATAGGCTCCTGCTGAATCCCATGTTTGCTGTTTTGTTTGTTGTTTTATTTTTTTATTTTTTCTCTTAGAGAGCCGATAAAAGTTTCAAGAATGCTGCTGGATATTATCTGATTGAAAACTCGAACGGAAATGTAATAGGAACAAAGGACTTGTCCAAGTGTATGACGAGGGGTGAGTGATTTTAACTGCTCGCGCTTATATCAATAAGACATACAGAAACACGCGGAGATAGTTGTGGCACTGAGTTAGTTAAGAAATGTTTTATTTCTGTCATTATACCAGAAAATGGTAGGAAATTAAGCTGTTGACGCGCAATTTTGTCTCTACGGCCGCTCGTAGGTGAATAGTACTTGATAATTACTTCCATACCAGCCAATCAGCGTGCGCGAAAAGTGCTATTCACCTGTGTTATTTATGCTTGTCACAATAAGTATATACCGCACAGCTGTCAAACAGGTGAACAGCGCTTTTTTGCGTGCGTTTATTGGCTAGCTCGGAAGTGATTATCTCCAAGCAACCGATAGACTAAAATCACCTGTCGAGAGTTTAACTTCCAAACATTTGTTTCAGTTTGCTTGTTTTTTTAATTGTTATTTTCTCGGTTTAAACTAAAACAATCTTTTACCTTAGTTACCTTGCCCTCGATAAATTTCCACCACTAGCCACCGCTACTTCGGTGAATAGTCGTAAACCATTGATAATTTTTATTCGTGCCAATTTGTTTTTGTAAATTGTAATTCAGTGGTTGTCCTACGATAGGGATTGTTAATTTTCATTTATCGATGAGGCTATAACTTATTCATCAAAAGTAACTGTTTCTGTCGGTTAAGTTTGTTTACATTAACCCTTTACACCATAACATCAGAATCCATATTCTGCGTACACCTCTATACATTTTCTTTGCGTATTGCAAGGAGAAGTCGTTGAAAAATCAAAAGCTCCCTAGGTCGGCGATCATTCAGAGTTATTCAGCCGTATAACTGTAAGGAGAAATTAGATACTGGTAATTTTTAGGGTTTAAAGTGACAGAAGATGTAAAAGGAATAGTCTTACCAAGCGATTTCTCATATTGAGTTTCACATTATTAATATGCTGTTTTCACTATTGGTTTTTCAATGCAGGCATATTTGAAGTAGGAAGGACTCCAGGTGGCCTACCATTTTACAGGAATAAGGCAACTCAAAAGTACTTAGCCATCGACCCAAACGGAACCGTTTATATGTCGGTAAGAAGGCAATTATTGGGTGGTAATATTCTGCGGGGCCAGATTGTTCGAGAGGGTGTTAACGTTAATCTAGGATTAAACGTAACCTTGGCTTTAATTTCTCACGCAGAAGAGTACGTATAATGTTAAGGTTTTGACTCGAAACTAATGGAAGAAAAAAACGAAAGAAAAGTCCCTTTGCAGAGCTATAAAACTAAACGAAATATTTACACTAACCCCGCATTAGGTAAACCGTGGTTTGGAACAATCTGGCCCCGAGCAATAACGAGTTTGATGAAAATACGAGCTACCAAGATCCAAAGATTCAATTAAGGGTGGGAAAAGGCATACGTTTCTAAAAAACTCTGGTGCTGTGTCGGTGAGGGGGTGGGGGGGTATCATTATCAGCTGAGTTGATGAAGTAAATTGGCCCAGTAAAGAGGTTCTATCTGACGAAGGGCTAACGCTCGAAACGTCAGCTTTAGAACTGTTAACAGTGGTAAATTTACATAAGAAACTCACTCTATAAAACCAAACCTAAAATCAGTCTCGTACAAAAAACATTGGACACGAATTTGGAAATATAAGTTGAACATTTTCAATTGCAGGAACTGCAATTTTTTTCAAGAAAACTCACTGAAATGTCCAGTCTATTTATGGCTAACGCTAAAGAAACAAAAGCAGGCACTAAAAATAAAGGTCACCAGGGTGTGTCGGTCATATAAAAGGAAAAAGGAAAAAAAATTTTACTATCATTGAAAAAATATATATATCAATACGCATGCGTAGAAAGTTCTCGCAAGCGTGACAGAATAACGCACCAAACATCTGAACCAATGCCCTGGGTAAAGTAAAGTGGAACGTCAATTAATTTCTTTGCTGCGCTCTGATCATAAACTAAGCTAGGAGCTGGCCAAGCCCTTCTCTTAGACCTTACGATGAAACACTTTATCACTTTCATGAAAAGACTGTATCCATAACTGACAAAAAATTCCCACACTTTCAAACACTGCTACTTGTAAACTTTACATATGAACCGTGAGATATCACTAAAGTTGGAAAAAAAAACCCTCTCGAGAGCCATACACTTCATAGACCTTATCGAGGAATACCCAACTCAACTCAACCCCCCCTCCCCCTTACTGCCTTCGTGCTATCTTTTAGATATAAAATGAATCTGCTTTTATTTTGCAGCCAACTCAAAACAGTGATACTGTCATCTACACTATCAACGATACCCGTGACTTGAGCATAATATACTTATACCGCCTTGTTGGTCAAAACAAGCGATTATATCTGGACCTCTCGCCTCAGAGTAACACGGTCGGACCAGCGAACACCAGTAATACAACTAAATTTCGCTCTAGAAATGGCGTAAAAACCTGTTAACAAGTAGTGGACCTAGACAATTTTAAGAACTTTTAGATTTTAGGATGAATATAGAGACCACGCGTATTGGATATCACAGTAAGTTATTTTGCAAAATTAAAGGAACTTTTAAAGTCTTATTAAGCTTCATCAGCCTTATTCCTTTGGCGCGTAACAGTGAATATTGATGTATCATGCTTTGAGTTACACATTTGATCTAAAAAAGTCACAGATTTCTTTTTTTTTTCTGACCTTTCCCACTTCTTAATTCTTAAATTCGCTGGAGTGAACATCTAACCTTATCCTTATAACAGACGTAAGAGTATCAGTTAGGATGTTACATCTTAACAAACAGCCAGATTCTCTTCGTTTTTTTTTTTTACCGAAGGGAATGTAAACCAGCGAGAAGGGAAAATTTAAAATGATCATAAGACTCACTTGTTCCTTTGCAACAATCTATCGAACGCTAGCTCACGATTCCCATTAAAAATGAAATCTTAAAAGAAAGCCATTTTCTCTACCAAATTGCAACCCTAAAAATAGGAGATTTCTTATAACTTTTATGTTAATGTAAAAGCTAACCCCCTTATCTCTAATCGCAAAATATAAAAACTACTTAGGATCGTTTAGCCAAATTGTTTTCGTCTCTTTACAAATCTTGAATAAACAGTGGAGACAGTTGAAGTGGGACTCCCGTTTTAGGACGCTGGCTCGCGTCCGCGCATTGTTTCAATACTCGAGAATCTCATATGCGTACTCATAACCAATCTGAGATCCTTACGTCTCTATCAACTGAGTTGATCTAGTCTATTCCCCATTAAAATTGAACCCTTTTGGCCACAGATTTAAGATAAGATTTCACACAGAGTAAGTGGAAGAGGCGAGAGTCTAACTGCACCATTCAATTCTAATGACCTTAAGCAAACTACAAAAGATCTCATAAGTAGAACAGTAGTTCAGCACGTGCGTCTTTAAAAAACTTACATCACTTTCTTTCTTGTACATTTCTTCGCCGTCTTCTGCAAATCAACAACATGAAATCACCGAAATTTTTGTCGTCTGCGAACCGACGGAAATTGCGACGACAAATTATTTCAATTTCCAATTGGGTCTCAAGGCTGGTTATAATTATATTTATGTTATGCTAAAGTCGAGGTTTTGCGCCGTAAGAAAAGGTAAATACATGCAGCGATTTTTGAGGTTTTATAACTAAAAATAGAAATTAATTTTTTAATCGACATCTTCCTTAAGACTGCCGTCCTGATTGCTTAATTAAGGTCCTTAAATGTGAAGGAACCGTTTTCAATTGAATGTTTAGAGTTATCCGGTCGGAATGACAATGGTTTTAATTTACTTCAGCAGTCTGTTTGATTAGTCAAGAAAAATTGCATCACGTAAGGAACCAATTCGATGTCAGACGATAACCAAAACACTAAAGTAAAGTAAAGTAAAACTTTATTTACACAGGGTAGCTCACTCAGCTTCAAGGCTGGTCCCCATAGGCTTCCTGTACTCACTTAACGTTCTCATCAGCAAGTTGAGCAATTTTCAGTTGTTCTGGTAAACTTTTTTGATTCCTTTAGTTTTGCATCCCTGATACTCAATTAGAAAGGGTCTAATTTTCTGTACGTGAATAGATTGAGTTTCAGCAAGATAAAATTTCTTTTTTATTTATCAGCAAGCTTATTTTAAAATGTTTTCCTTTGTGCTGAAGCATCTAATCATTGTGTAAGCCTTTGCAAAGGTATGAGTTGGCACTGACGAGGTTAGAAAAAAAACAAATATTAGTGACTAAGTATGGAAAATAATGGCTCGATTTATGAATTATATTGCTTCACCATGCTCCTTAGATCTCCACACCTTTTAAAATTAACAATCGAAGACATAAAAATAAGCCAACAAATCTCTGTCTTTTGTCAGTTTTATTAAATGTAGTAAAAACTATTTTCTTTCCTGTTTTGATTTTGTGTTGGTAATATTTCAGTTAATTGTTGTCAACAAACAGTAACAAACGATATTTTATCGGTCAAAGTCAAGAAGCCCACTTTCAAAGAAACATGCGATATTTTAGATACGAATTAAAGTTCTAGCCTATGATACGTTCCAACAAAAATGGTAGTTATTAACGTAATTTGAGAAAGAAACAGCAATCTATATCAACTTCAGTTTAACTAAGGCAGTATTCAACTTTTCTGTCTCATGGACTACATTGTCTATAAACTCTTCAAGATTGCTCAGTATAGTTCTGGGAATTTAAGATTATACGACTGAGGTTGGTCATTCTTTAGTAGCAAAAACATGCAAAGGCTTCCAACGTCATGAGGAAGTTACCGAAAATGATGTACGGTTTCACTCTCTGAATTACGGCTGCCGTCATTAACTTATGAACAGTCGAGTTGGAGTGCGTACGAACATTATCGGACGTTAATGGCAAATCCAGCAAGGACGAACTGGGGAGATGCGTGAGGAATGGTCTGAAGTGAGCTCACTTCGTTGTATTACGAACATGTTAAAAGTACGAATATTTGTATTGGCTAAATCAGCTCTGAGAATTCTGCGTAAAATTGTAACATATATTTAAGCACAAAGCATTTAATTTAATTACAGGAACGTGGTGCAGATCTACACAATCTGCATCACGTGAGAACCATGTGATATTCAGGCGTATGTTCTGTTACGGAGTGCTTATCAAAGAGATCCTACCGTCAATAAACAAAAAAAAGTGCAACAATCAAGAGACGCGTTGCTTAAGTTTTGAAGCTCTCTTTACATTAGGAGCTGTTTGATAGATCAATGCGTCCAGCACTATGGAATTTGGCCCCAAAAATCACAATTGTTACAAGTTTGATTGAACTAACTTCCATCATATCGAAAATTATCATTGTTAGTAGACTTTGAAATGAATACATTTTACTTACCAGCCAAAAGTAGGTTTTGTCACATATACACATGAAAAACTTTCTCCATTTCAATACACGGATTCCGCTGACATATTACTGTCTTATTTGCCACCATGACGATGTCATGACTCATTCGTGGGGGGGAAGGGGAAGAGGGCTATAATTGTTCTCTTCATGCGTAATCCCATGCATTCAGCCGCACGTGACAAACTGCAAATTTTGAAATTTCCGAAAGAGATCGTCAGGTTGAATCGGGAGGTAGCAAGGATGCAAAAACTATAGCAGGCTCCTTCTATCCAGCCCTTCTCCATCAGAATACACAACTAAACACTCCGTTTTCGCAAAAGATTAATTGTATGAACAAGCTGTATGCCGTAAAAGCAGACGGAATTGAAAAATATCTACTTCAAAATAAATACTTTATTATCCTGCCCACTTGTCACAAGAATACGTCCATCTGGTGCTGCTAAAATTCCAAAGGTTTTGGCAAACGAGTGATACTTTCCCCTGTGAAGCGACCGTCTAGAGAAAACTGCTGTACCCGGTCATTGTCAGTGTCACGAAGATTATCGGAGCTGTCTACCAGCAGATAATATGGCCAATTCAATTCTCCATCTCGATTCCCTTCCTTGCCAAACTTGTATAAAAATGTTCCTGGCTAATGAAAAACTTTTATGCACTGATTGCCTCCATCACATACAAGAAACATGTTTTTGTAAGCAGCAGGTTGAATCACTGAGTTTCTCTGGGCCTCTGTCTCCGAATGCAAAAACAGATTCTCTCTCTTTTGACATCACTTGTATCCTATTACTGCCATATTCAGTTACAACAATGCGCTCTTCATGATCCAAACAAACATCGAGTGGACCATCAAACTCTCCCTTTCCTGAACCTTTTTGTCCTCAAGCTTTTCACGACAGCCCCTGTCTTGTTATCGATGTGTTGTATTCTACTATTTTCACTAACGGCCACAAGAATCTCTTTATCATTTAAATACCACACGCCTGTTGGGACCTCAAATTGTCCTAGTTCTTTTCCTTAGCTTCCAATTTTTCTCACACGGTTTCCATCTCTATCAAATACATAAACACAGTGGTCATTGCTATCTATCACAACTATCTCGCCTTTCTCATTAACAGCAATTCTAGTCAAATATTGAGGCGTGTCTCCTGGAAAGAGCTTCAAGTTCAACTCGTCTATAGTAATAAGTTCACTTTCTTTCACATTTAACGTAGAAGGGCAGATAACTAATATGTAACTAATATGGAAAAAATATATATCTCGATCATGCTATAATTTTTTCATTTTACGTTTATTTCCTAAAGGCTCTTTTCAGTTGCAAACGAATCTGTATTCATCTAAGAACAAAAGACCAAACGTACAATTCTGCTTTGCGGCAACGAACCCTCTGTAGCATCGCAAGCACAGACAGGCTCAACTTTTTATTTGCTCCATTTATTAGAAGACTTTTCTTCCCTAAAAAAAAAACTAGATGCTGGTCACTCTCAGGGTTTAAATGGTTAAAGTTACCTTAATCAGACGAGAGAACAACAACCCTCCAGCATCATCGGTGAGTGTACAGCTCGTCCGATTTGTCTCGGACAAATTGCCAGGCAAGTTTACGCTCTGTTAATCTGAAAACTAAATCTTGAAACTGAAATCGATTTATTACCCATTTTGCTAAAGTATCAAGCTAATAAACAGATCCCTTTACTAAATACCTAAAGCTTACCTGCCCGTTACACCAGCGATAACGAAAACCGTATCCTGTGACCAGACATCAGTCTGAAAAACGTAAAAAAAAAACTAAAAAATAAAATTCATGTAGTCAGGCACAAAAAGTAGCAAGTACACAGAGTTATCATTCATTCAAGCATTATTTCTCCCTTCTCTCCTACCTGGAGTGAATGCTGGAAAACACAGGTCACCCACTAACAGGTAGAAACTTTTGCCGAGCTCTTATTTCCCACGCTCTTGACCCTTGATTACCGATCATTAGTATTCATATCCTCCACACTGCTTGCTAAACATTTACTAGGATACTGACAGGGAGAATTTGTGTCACAATCAAGAACCGCACTAATTGCTGATCATGTAAGTTATTCTCATCACCTTTACATTTGTTACAAGAGTAACACCGTAAGGAGACATTAGAAGCTAGTCCCTCTTATTTTCACATAGTTTTGTTGGCCTTTTTATAACATTCTATTCCCGTGATTTGCTTGTTTGGTTTTTATTTTCATGTCTGTTTGTTTGCTTTTTGTAAAGAATAGTGGATATCTTTGTAACTGAGAGCTTCTGGCAACGTTAGCCGAGATGAACTGTTTTGTATCAGGAAAACTATTGACATGAGAAGGTAAAATGCATCGTGGAATGATTTGTACGTTTCAGAAAAAAAAACTTTCACACCATTGAAGGCATCAAGATTTTGAACCCAAATGAATGTGAATTAAAAGCAGAAGCTATAAGACCCACAGACATTGAGAACTCCAAGACTTTCTTGATCAGGTCAGGTTGTGACACAGCTCCCATCCATCTCTTCAATCAGACTTTCTCTTCATGCAGATCAGCTTCTTTCAACAGTTAACCACAGAGTCTTAAGGTGTTAATAACACCATGCCTAAGAACTGTGCTATACACCGCTGCCCTCAAGTATACCGGGATGGTGGATTCACATTTGCAGTGCGCTTCAAATCTCTTGCGCGCCTCGGCGAGGGTTGCTTGATCACCACTACGTCCCATTCAACCCAACACCAGGCCCCTCAAAAGCGCATCCAAATGACCTAGGACAATAGTTGACAATTAAACCCATTATTCTAGTACAGGTTTAAAGTCGGCACCAGGGGCACTGCATTCTTAGAAAATGTTGCCACGTTCTCTGTCATGAAGGAACTAAGACTACTGCGGCTCTCTCTTCCTTAAGTTACAATAATGATCTATCAAAAGTAACACCCTTCACGCGCCTTTTGTCAGGCTGCCCTGACAGTTTTCTGCCACCTATTTTCACTCCTGGGTGCTGAGAGCCAGTCTCAGCACAATGTCTGAAACAATCCAGTGACCAAACCAGCTGCCTAGACTTGACCCAGACCTCTCAATTTAGCGCCCTAATAAGTCGTCCTATACTTATCCCACTGGTATAAAGTATGGCCCTTGTGCGTCGCATAGCGCCGATGGGACAGACGATAAAGTTCATGATCCCTCCGGAGGGTCAGAAGAAACTTTTGATTTTGTGTTGGTAATATTTTGGTTACTTGTGGTCGACAAAAAGCGACAAACGATGTATTATCAGTCATTTTCAAAAAGCACATTTTCAAAGAAACATGCGAAAACTTCAGCCGAATCCTTCTATCTAACAGTGTAAGTATCGCTATTAGCAAGAGTTAGAATTTCGATCAAGATTTACAATTTTAGTCTTTTGTTACACCCTCTAGTCATTCAAATTGATTTAAAATTACGAAAAACCTTCCTACTGTTATCCTTGGTAATAAAAAAAGGAAACCACAAGCAAACCAAAAGATAACAAAGGAAGACACATTCATTATGATCAGTTTAATACCGAAAAAAGTCATGTACAGAAGTCGACAAACTACATCATACCCCTGACAAAAGTAACGACTCCACTAATCTAAACTTGAAACCCGTAAATAAAAATGTGTCACTTGAACTCATAAACTGAATATTCCTCACACTTTCCTTAACACGAGGAAACGGTAGGAATTCTGATCTATATCGTGTACAGAAAAATTAAAGATCAAAAATGATAAAAAGCTACTTTTACCGAAATACGTCAAACAAATATTGTAAAAATTATCTACCAAATAGTTTGCAAAACGTAGGAAAATGAAAACGTTGCGCAAATTTCACCCGTCCATCAAAAGCAGTTAAATAAACAAAATATGGTGATATTAAGAGCTGTACGATACAAATGAAAACTTATCACTTATCTATATATAGTTCAATGGCATCTGGCGAATTCAGTTTAACTAAAGGCAATCCTCTCTAATAATCCTCCAGAAACATAATCAAAATCACCGTTTATAGTAGCCATACACGAGAACAGTTGCCTATTTACAAGCCCTGGACAAGTAGCACTCGGTACTACTGAGAAAAACATCCATTAATAAGAGTTGGATTCGAACACGGGACCTCACAAATCTCAGTAAGATACGCTAACCAATAAGCTGCGCACATATGCTGGGAAGAGCTATAACAGCTATAAAGTACTATATTGTATGCTGCTTCAGTAAAATATAAACGAATTCACTTTCGCCTTGTCTTCCGAAAAAAGCATGATGCGTGACAAGAGCCAAAAACGACTGCAAAATAACCTAAAGATACTTACAAGTCCTCTAAGTATTTCGTTATTCAACCTCAACGTTCTGCAATTTGTAAGCTTGTATAGAAACAAAAGGTTTGTTATCTTTTTTACGACATTCAAATCATTTTTGTAGAAATTGAAGTTGTGTTCCTTTGTTTTGGTAAAAGACTAATTGTATAAACAACCAGTATGCCGTAAAAGCGGACTGGATTAAAAACATATCTACTTCAAAATGAATACTTTACTATTCGTCCAATTTGCTGCAAGAATACGTCCATCTGGTGCTGCTACAATTTCACGAGGGCATAGAACAGTGATACTTTTGCCTGTGAAGCGACCTTCTAGAGAAAACTGCTGTACGCGATTATTTTGAGGGTCACATACAAGAAGATTATCGGAGCTGTCTACGAGCAGATGATGCGGCTCATACAATTCTCCATCTCGATTCCCTTCTTTGCCAAATTTGTACAAGAATGTTCCTGACTGATCAAAAGCTTTTATGCAGTGATTGCCTCCGTCACATACAAGAAACATGTTTTTGTAAGGAATGCAGCTGATTGGATAGCTGAGTTTCTCTGGGCCTCTGTCTCCGAATGTAAAAATAGACTCTCCCTCCTTCGAAATCACTTGTATCCTATGATTGCCACACTCTGTTACAACAATGCGCTCTTCATCATCCAAACAAACATCATATGGACCATTTAACTCTCCTTTTCCTGAACCCAATTGTCCAAAGCTTTTCAGGACAGTCCCTGTCTGGATATCGATGTGTTGTATTCTATCATTTCCAAAGTCTGCTACAAGAATCTCTTTATCATTTAAATACGACACGCCTTTTGGTTGCTCAAATTGTCCCTGTTCTTCCCCTTGGCTCCCAATTTTTCTCACACAGTTTCCATCTTTATCAAATACATAAACAAAGTGGCCTTCATCATCTACCAAAGCTATCTCACCTTTCTTATTAACAGCAATTCCAATCAGAGAGAGAAGCGTGTCTCCTGGAAAGAGCTTCAAGTTCAATTCTCCAACGATAACAAGTTCTCGTTCTTTCACATTTAATGTATATGGGCAGGTCGGAAGTTTATCACCATTAATCTTCACTTCAATGCTATAGGAACCGGGTAATTTGGGTGTAAACTTCAACTGAAGGCAGCCGTTTTCTCTCTTGTTAACAAACACATTTGTAACATCTTTCACGGGTTCTATGAGAAATTCAACTTCATCTTTGAGATCATCCCGTCTTATCGGTTCCCCTTCGGATGTTTTAGCGTATAACGTCAACTCCGCTTCTACACCAGCCTGAAAACTTTGATCCAGTCCTTCAAGTCTTGATCGTTCTGCATCTGCTGTCGGAGTGACCTCAATAACACCCAGTTTCCAATCCACCAAACGAGGTGCCTCACAAAATTTAACGAATGTCGTTTGATGATGTCCAGGAACTTCAGCTCCACGAAGCTCTTCAAATTTCTGCTCCAAAGTTTCCTTGATCTGCATAACATCTGAGCTCGAGCTATTCTGAACCAGATTTTCTGCATACGTAGCAGCTTGGTTCATTTGTTTTACCAGAGATTCCACCTCCTGTTTAGCCGAGTTGATCCGCTCAAGTATTGACACGCGTGTTGCCTCGAGGGAGTCAATTGCTTCTCGCTCGCGCTCTCTAATCTCCGCGATAACTTCTTCGGCTACTCGCGAGACCTCTCGCTTAGCTGTTGCAACGTTGCTTTCCAGCTTCGAAATTGTTTCCTCAAACTGCTTGATGACTTCACAAAGCTCACTTTCCTTGTTCCTGATCAATTTAGCACCACACATGATCTTATCCTTTTCTTCGAGAGCCGCTTTCTCGAGCAGAACAACTTCGTGGTTTTGATGATCCGTTACTGTGCAAATTTGGCAAATGCAAACTTGACACTCCAAGCAAAAAAATCGTGTGACTTCTCTCTCGTGGAACTCTTGTGAACAAAACGGCTGTCGCTTTAGCACTGCTTCGTAATCTTCTACTTTAAAGTCTTTAACTGGCGTGACTTTGTGTCCTTCAAATGTTGCACTCAGCAATTGATGCGCATTGAAACAATCAAGGCACATGAATCTTCCGCAATCGAAGCAATAGTACATCTGAGGGTTGGTTTTCCGGCACTGAGAGCAAGTAATGCTACTTGCATCACCACTTTGTCGAACGGCAAGAAGACTCAACAAACTTTTGTGGAAAAAGCTGTTGGGCAAACGGTCGAAGCGATTTCCTTCTGGTAAATCGATCGCTGCCTGACACTCGGGGCATCGAAATTTTCCTTCTTTCTGGCTCACTCTTGCATGTTTCTCCAAACACTCGCAGCAGAACGTGTGGAAACACGATATAATTTTAGGTTCAGTGTAGGTATCCAGACAAATAGAGCAAGTAACTTGCCGCTTGATGTTTTGCAAAAGAGACTCCATTACGATCGACAAAAACGAAACGACGCCATCGAATAAAATAAACACCTGACGCCTAAAGGGATTGAGTTACATTTCTGAGAAAACAGAACAAAGTCCGTCACAAGCAGCTGATGGTGACCAATCAAGATCGAAAAGCTCGTCTGTAACATTAGATTGTTTATCTGTGGCGTAAACTTAATCTTCATTTTTGTCTGACAGCTTTATTTTTAAACAGTCAGATGGTTTAGCGCCTTGTCAGATAATAAAAAGCTACAGTGCTCTTTTTTAATATTCGTGAAAATAGAAAGTCAAGGAATGCAAAACGAAAGGGAAAACCACGAGGCATAATTACATTTTATGCACTAAGATTTAAAGAGGTGATTAAAGCTGTTTAAAGTGTTCACAACTTAAATTCTCCCTGTTATCTCCCGTAAAATACAGCGAAAACATCAAGTACTGCCCGCACGTGAGCACCCATGATGACGATGGCTATTTTTAGTTATTTGCGTGACTTTCAATACCCATTTGTTTTGCGTAACATACTTTCGAATTGTCGGCATCGTTCCATTCGGCCACGAGTCACGTGTGATTTGCAAGTGTAATCAGAGGAGAAGATAGATCGAAGGATTGTCGAAATATTTGAATAATATAACGGGGAAAAGAGGTTTGTCATCTTTTTTATTTTTGTATTCATAAACCGAAACGTGTACAATCGAAGGTAGTTTTGTTTCGCTTAGGATTTTTGCGTTGTTTCGATTAGTCCGTGTACACGCCCCGCGTGTTCGAGTTTAGGACATTTCGATTAGCGTACATTGTATGGTAATGGCCTATTTTAATTAATTGTATTTCAGTTTTTGCGAGCTTTCAAGTTTGATAAACGAATTGAGATTCGAAAGACGCTCGGAGGTTCCGTCAATATAAAACATTTCTCCGATGCGGAGTTGTTAGATTCGATTGATGTCAGCGTTCGCCCCGTTACAAATGTCTTCGTCACCAAAATATTTTTTACTTTACCTTTATTTCGTTGAGGCTCTTTTCAGTTGCAAGCGAATCTGTGGTCATCTAAGAACAAAAGACAAACGTATAATTTAGCTTTGCGGCAACGAAATCTCCGCAGCGTCGCTAGCCGAGAGAGGCTAAAGGTTTTATTCATTCCACCAATAACACTAATTTTTTTCCATGCAGTTTTCGATGACAAAAGTTACCTTTATGAGACGAGAGAATAACAGTCCTCCAGCATAACGGGTGTACAGCTCGTCCCAATTGTCTTCGACAAACTGCCACGCGAGTTCACGCCCTGCTAAACTAGAAATGAAAACAAACAAAGGAAATACAAGGAAAATTTGTATCTGGATTTTTGTTTCTTTTTTTTTGTTTGTTTGTTTGTCTGACTGTTTTTTTTTGTTGTTGTTTTTTTTTTTTAAGCACTTTAACGCGTTTTAACTGATCTCTGAATGCACAGTCCGAGACCAGTAACGGACATTCACGCATCGGAAAACTTGATAAAAAAGATTAAGATTAATCTTGAAATGGGATTAAAACATAGGGGCGATATTCTCTTCCAGATTTTACTATTTCGTCTTCTTAAAGACAGGTTTATTCAACTCTTTTCACCACAGGACAATAAGAACAAGGCAGTAAGTGTACCAACGTTTACGGCAGTAGTACGGGAAATGCTCAATGGCACAGAAGGTTTGCCGGTACGATCTGTTTTCTGCACTATACCGTTCACAACCTTTACCACGATCTAACTGGTAAATAACTCACCTGTTACCACTAGTTAAAATCCTTCCTTTCAGAGAGTTCATTATTTTGTTGGGAAACTTACGTGGCTTTTCCAGTTTTCGAGTGCCTTACCCAAGGGCTAAGCGTTACAAACAAGCCAGCATTGAATTTGAACCGATTTATGATACAAAGTGCTAAATCTTGCGTCACATAGACAGATCTCTTTGCTAGCTACCTAATGCTTACCTGCCGGTTACACCAGCGATAACGTAAACAGTATCCTGTGACCGAACATCACTCTGAAAAGAGCGCAGTAAGAAACAAAATAATAGTTAACAACGAGAAATAACGAGTTAACTCTACAGGTTAACCATTAATTCAGGCGTTGGTAGGAACGAAATTATCGAGTACACAGGCTAACCATGAATTCAAGCGTTGCTGTCACCCAGTGACAGTTGGCAACTTTTATCGTGAGATTAGCACGTAAATTTCCTCATCATATTCGAGCTCTTATTGCTTGGGCTTTTAACCCTTTACACGCTAATATTAGAATTCATATTCTCCACACTGTTCTGTTTATATTTTTCCTATGGCAATACTAAGGAGAATTTGTGTCAGAATCATGTCTATTATTATCGTGACCTTTTCATTTGATTCAAAAGTGATACTGTAAGGAGAAATTAGACATCAGTCATGGTTTTGTCGGCCATTTGAACATTCCTTGAGCAAACAGTGTTCGATTTCAGTGATTTGCTTGTTTGTTTCTTTTTGATTTCTTATTTGTTTGTTTTTGCCAAGAATAGTGGACACCTTTGTAACAGGGAGCACTAACCAACACAACCCAAGAGGATTTCTCTTGTGTCAGTGTAATTATTACAAAAAGGTTCATGTATCGAGGAACAATTTGCACGTTGCCAAAAGAATAAAACCTCTCCCATCATTGAAGGCGTCAAGCTTTTGAACCCAAATGGACGTGAATTAAAAGCAGAAGCTACAAGACTCACAGACATTGAGAACTCCAAGACTTTCTTGATCAGATCAGGTTGTGATACAGCTCCCATACATCTCATCAGTCGGACTTTCTCTTCATGCAGATCAGCTTCTTTAAACAATTTCATCACAGACTCTAAGGTGTTATCATCACCATGCTTAAGAACTGTGCTATAAACCGCTGACCTCAAGTCTGCCGAGATGGTGGATTCACCTTTGCAGTGTGCTTCAAATCTCTTGCGCGCCTCGGTGAGGGTTGCTTGATCACCACTGCGTCCCATACAACCCAGCACCAGGCCCCTCAACAGCGCATCCAAATGACCTAGGACAACAGTAGACAATTAAACCCATTATTCTAGTCCAAGTTAAAAGTCGGCACCAAAGGCACTGCACTCTTAGAGAATGTTGCCGCGTTCTCTGTCATGAAGGAATTAAGACTACTGCCTCTTTCTCTTTCTTAAGTCACAATAATTATCTATCAAAAATTACCCCCTCCACGCGCCTTTTGTCAGGCTACCCTGACAGTTTTCTGCTGCCTATTTTAAATCCTGGGTGGAGAGAGCTATTGTTAGCACAGTGTCTGGAACAAGACTTCAATAAAATGACCAGAGCAGCTGCCCAGACTTAAGCCCAGACCTCTCAATTTAGCGCCCTAATTAGTCGTCCTGTGCTTATTTCACATGTATACAGTGAGGCCGGCTTTGCGCGTCGCCTAGCGCTAAAAGGACAGACGATAATGTTTCATGATCTTACGAGAGGATCTGGAGAAAGTCGAAAATTTGCCCATGCTACCCAGAAAATCATCAACCTTTTGCATAAAGTGATATACCTAAAAATGAGAAATGCTGTGGATGAAGTTTATAGTACTGGTTCCTTGTTGGGGAACCTACGATTCTCGAAGTATACGCTCCTAGAAGTAGACAAATGTGAGCAAATCCGAGAACTTGTTTTGTCTGTTACCTTCTCCAACTTTAGGGTCCCATCCAACTTTCTGGGCAATGTTTTCGTACAGCTTTACACAGAAGGCCTGGAAGCTAGAGTAGAACCCAGTGTTTTGTAGCAGCTTCGACAAGCTGCTCATATTCGATGTTAGGTCATTCCACACTGTATAGTTTGTTTCGTTGCTAAATTGTTCAGCTAATTTTAGGAATTCTGTTGTGGATGTGAGACCCGCTTGCGCCTGAAGAAGAACAATATTTAAAATTGGAAAGTAAACTGGAACTCTCGGCGAGTTTTCTAATAAAGACTTTCGAGAAAGAGAGATAAAAGCTCACACGATCAATTACAGTCCGATAAAGGTTCTAGCGATAAAGAACTTTTTGCAAGTGTAGGCTTGTTACAAACAAATCATAACGCGGATTTTACGAGAATATGAAATGAGAATAATTCCACAAAAGTCCTAATGTTTGTAGAAATAAATCAAGTTGTAAAATGTATCAAAAGATTATTTGACGAAAGCCGTCTAGAGGTGGACTCATCAACATACCAGAGCAAACAGATCACTCTGCAAACCCAATCTGTCCCTTGGTGGAAGACTGTTGTCCTTTATGGCTGGCAGGAGAAGCTCCAACATGTCGGACGAGTACTGTACTCGGTAGAAACCAACTTGGCCTGGATTTAACTGCAGAGAGAGAGATTTCACCCTTTACCTGTTAATCACTTCATTTCTACGAAAGCTCGAAGCGATGTGAGTTCGTCACAAGTTATCCCTCCCGACCCCCCCCCCACCCCACCACCCCTAGTATATTCGTTGGTACCCATCTGACTGACTGCGAAGCACAATCATTCGTCATTCGATTATTCATACAGGGCTAGAAATCTGATTCCTTGATAAATAGTAAGACGATCAACGTATAACGATTACCAATTAACGATTGACGTATAACGATTACCATCTAACGATTAACGTATAACGATAATCATTTAACGATTAACGTATAACAGTTATCTAAAAACGATTAGCACATAACGATAAACATAACTGAAAATCACTGATCGTAATTTAAGGCAATTCTTACAAATTCACCTTAATCCACTGATCTTTTCCAACTCCACTGACTGTTATTTCACAGGTTTTATTTTCTAACAACGTTTCAACTGCGGGGGTTAAGGGACTGGTACTAGTGCAAACAGTGATCGGTACTTTCCATTGGGAAGAATCTTACAAAAAAACGAAAAAAAAAGTACAAAGCACGGGTAAGTAAACCGCTAATAACAAATCCAACAGTTTATGTAAATCAAGAATTGAGAACTCTCTTTTAATCTTATTTTTCCGGACAACGAAACTTAAGGCTCGTTCACTGTGGCCCTGCATTCATTCTATATTTCCCCTTTTAACATGTATTCAAACATATTGATCTCAATTATTGCGTCGTCTTTGCCCTTGAGGATTCTTAAAATAATCTAGAAGCTTCAACAGACAAGGTAATATCTGTACTGCTCAGGTAATATTTTATATTCACCAAGGTTTATTAATTACAATTACCTTCAGTTGTCCCATCAGCCGAAAATTTGTTCTGTGTTATGGTGACCACCACATCTTTCCCTTTCTGAAAAGAGAAATAAAAGAGTAATCAGGCGTTTTCGTCTCGCGTGACTGCTAGCGCTCATTACAGTGGAATAAGATTGGGTTGACAGAGATAGTCGATTTTGTTATCACAAAGGTAAAAAGGTTAATAAGTAGCTTTACTGATCCACAATTCGTCTGCGCAAAGTTGTCCGGAGCGCAACTAGAGCTAAGCCAGATTGAGTTAGTGCGCCAATGCAAAGCTTGCCTTACTCAATGAACCCAACATGAGCACGTTATCAGTTAACATGAATGCCGCACATAGGTCATTAAATTGTCAACTCTTGCTGCAAATGAGGTCTCCCCTCCCCCCACCCCCCGCTTAAAAATTGTTTTTTTCATCTGGCCATGGCGACCGAAACGATCGCAACTTGGTAAGCTTAGTTCTTACTTTTTCTGCTGTAACAGACAACACAGGATATCCCATTTGTTTGGTCCATGTTTCCATAACGTCTGCAACAGGCTTCGAACTGGCGTGAGACAGACTGGCCCAGAGGTCCTCTTGGAGAGTGAAAAAAATGTAATAATAATGGTAACGATAAAATAATTTTAAGAAATACTTTTAGACCCCCATAATAGAGCCATAATGTTTTTACAACTCTGAACAGAAAAGCGCGCCGATAAGGGCACAGGGCTTACATAAAACAAATAAATAAAGGAGATATTCGTTTCCATAGAAACTGTGGTGCTGCGTCGGAAGGGGGTATAACAAGATAATTTGATTTTATTATCAGGGTTGATATTGTAAATTGGCCACCGTAAAGAGTTTCTTACGCTAACGTTTCTGGCATTAGTCCTTTGTCAGAGCTCTGCATTATGAAAAGCAACAATTAGTCCCAGCTAACCTGTGGAGGCAGCACTGTACTCGAACGTCTTCAGGTAGTGATTTAGACCTTTCCTAAAGTCCTGTGGTGTATAGAAGTGATGAAAGAGTAGTAATTTAGCGAATGGAAGAGCAATTACAAAGAGACAAGGATGTAAGAAATCTCGAGTATGCTTTAGCAAAAGCCTCAACCTAAAAGCTCTTTAAAAAAATACAAAACAACCTCTAGAAAGAAGGCGATAACCATACAAACTTTATTTCACCGAAAGAAAAAAATTCAAAATCCTCTTAAAAAATTTTAAAAGAATAATAATGATGGACAATTCATTCAAATTGTATCAGAATGCCACACTGTGTACTTTACTTCAAACAACAGAAAGCAGAAAGGTCTTGAAGGACCACCTTGCAGTATTTAACCCTTTCACTTCCATCAGTGATCAAGACAGAATTTCTCCTTATAATATCAATACAATATCAAGCATAGAAGTGATGAGAATAAAGTAAAATATCAATTAGGGGATTATTGGTTGATCCAATACCAAATTCTCCAAATTGACATCATAAGAATTGTCAGGGAGTTAAAGGGTTAATTGCAAAGACAACAAAAATCTTTTTCCTACATTTTCTCACTTCTGAGATTTCAGTAAGAAATTGGATTTGCTTTGATTTCTTTTCTTTATTAATCTAACAATTTCTGTTTTACTGATGTACCAGTACTGTAAGGAGAAATGAAATCTTGATAATGACTTACCTGATCACCCACATACTGATGTAACATTCTGATCACTGATGCACCCTTGTTGTAGGATATTGTATCGAAAATCTCATCTATCTCCCCTGGATGTTGCACTGGAACCTAAAACACATCAATACCACACATCGATCATTCACAAAATTTTAATCTCTCTGCTTAATACATGACATGTGGACTCTTGTAAATAACAGTGACAGCAGATCTGTTATTGACACACATGTAAAAACTGAAAATTGGAATGTCAATTGGAATTCTGCTGACAGAAATTATAAAATGGAAGACTTCATCAAAAAAAAATTATAAACTCCAGTGACAATATCATCATTATAAACTAGACATTAGAAAGTCTGAGATTGTTTTTAACATTTTTCTTCAAAAGCTCATTGGAGCAAATTATCTCATAGAGGTAAAGAAAAGGATTAACAAAGAACAAATGCAAAATTTACAACAAATATTAATGAAGATAAAATATTTCCCCAAAATTTTACCTCAATTGGATGACTTGAGTGTAGAAGGGAATCATGTGGGAGAGTAAAATATAAAATCACAGATAATGAGCCAGAACACTTAAAAAAATTGCATATAAGTCATGATTTATTTGCCACGGGTTTGAAACTCGAAGTGGCTACAATGCATATATACTATGCTGCCTACAGTACAAGAAGCTTTTCACTTGTCTGTATGATGCAAATAATTAGTACCTGTTATTCAGTGCATCAAGTTTCAAGGCACTGGCAAAATCAGTGCTCACAAACTGTGTCCACACATCAAACTCTGGGAAGCAGTGATCTACAAGGAGATATTCTATCCATGATGCAAACCCTTCTTTTAGCCACAAGTGTGTCCACCATTCCTGTCATTGAATGTCAAAGAAACAAAGTGAAGACTACACTCAAACTTAAACAATCTGGCAAATCCATGTCAACTTGATGGCACACAATAACTTAGAGAAAGTGGAAAGAGTGTTTCTTCTTGAGGGTAAACTTGAGCTTGTCACTGATGTGGTCTGCTCTAGGCATTCAGGAAACAATAACAGATTTCCAGAAGAGGCAACATAAAAGGACATATTACCACTGTCACCTGAAAAACCAAAAATGAAAAAGAGGATCAAGAGAGATAGATACCTTGACAACATTATTTAATATGGATAAAACACTTGGCTATAGGGATGATTTTTCAAGCTTTCCACAAAATTGAAAGATTTTAAAACTAGTACAATAATAGCACAGTTATTATACTTTAAAGTATACTCAAAACTTTCCACCCACCCTCCCCCCCCCCACAAAATAAGTAACAGTTCTTCACTAAAATTAACAAATTAGAGTTTTAAGACCAAAGAATAATTATACTAAATTTTAACATTAATTTTGATTTAATTCCAATAATAATAAATTAGCAGACGTGATCTAAAGATCAAGATAATAAAATCAAGAAGGAGGTAACTTATTAATGAAATTGTATATAAATTACCAAATTTCCAAACCACATATGAGCAAGTTCATGACCTAAGAGGCAACATAAGAAGATTCAATACAAATGATCTCAAAGATAAAAAACCCCCTGAGTAAGATCTGATATACTGCTACATTCTCCTTTCAAATTGCCCACTTCTTTCTTAGCCTTTAATCCCTAAGAGTGACTAGCAACTAATTTCTCCTTACAATATCACCCCTGGATCATGCAGTAAGGTCATGAGAATAAAGAAAATTATCAGCAGAAAAGAAGCTGTTGATTGTTACACAAATTCTCCTTGACAGCAGCTTAAGGAATGTTTGGGGAACAGTATGGAGAATACCTTTACTGATGTTAGGGTGTAAAGTGTAAAAAGACTCTTGGAGAAGAGGATGTATGCAAAAGAAACCTTTCATTAGCTTTATTCCATGTGTTCTTTCGATTGCATTTGAAAACAGATGTTAACACATCTATCCATGCAGTCAGTCATTTAACCAAACTATTCAATGAGTAACATACTTCTGCACTTACCAACAACTAAAGCCACATACTGTTTAGCTGCTGAAGAAGAATCAGTTGGATCTATCAAAAGGCAGGTTTCCCTTAAGCAAGAATATCAACATCAAAATGGTCAGATGTGAATAATTAACAACTACCAACAATAATTAATAAAAAAACCTGCATATCATGATATTGTTGACAGTTCACTGATCTACATGATCACCTCTTAAGGCATACCAATTGACTTTAATTGCTTGCTGACTCCTGTTTTCCACACTCTTATAAAGATGCTAATTAAAAAATACAAATTAAATCTTTTGAAAATATAGATTAGCATTATTTTTACCAACTTGAAGAAAAAACTCTCCATACCTGTAGGTGACAAGACCCCAGTTTTCCATAGCCCCTGTCACAGAATATGGAAATGGAGGCTTCAATGGCATATAATCAAATCCAAATTATTTCTAATCATTAATATCACCTAATACTGTAGGAACCAAAATGAAGAGCTCTGCAAGACATCACTAGGATCCAAAATGAAGAGCTCTTACTTTACTATAATTATTACTATGAGACCATGTAATGTCTTTTAAAACATATATAAAAGCAAGGCAAATTTTGATATCAATAAGTAATGCTGAGTTACCTATGACAAAGTCTTGAATAGCAATGAGGTCAAGCTTTGGTAAAAGGTAACCAATCCCAAAATATTCTTTGTAAAATGGCAGGCACTTTTTAGCGACCTGGAAAAAATTAACAAAAATAATCCCTGAACATTTTAAGCCTTTCACTCCCAGGTGTAGCCCGGAACTAATTTCTCTTTAACCCTTTAATTCCTGGAAGTGATTAACATGAAACTTCTCCCTATAATATCTATACATTATTCAGCAAACAGGTAATGAAGATATTCAAACTTATCACGTAGAAGCTGCTATCTTGATCTAGCACCAAGTTCTCATAACTGATTTACAAGGAAATGTGTAGCAGCTGGAAGGGAGAATTAACAATCAGATCTCGGTAGTTAAAGGGTTAAAATATCAATACACTGTCAAGGCTGTGCTCTAACGGCGCCCGGTCGCCTGAGGCGACTAACATTTGGCCTCGGGCGACTGAAAATATTTTCTTGGTCGCCCGGCCGGGCGACTGGCTGGTGTTGGTTTCTTGATTTACAGTCAAAAAAAAAAAAAAGAAAATGTTGTTCAATCGGGCGCGCGTTGATATTCAAAGGTCGTTCCACGTGAATTTACGTGTAACATAATCATCGACTTTGATCGTGACAAGCTGCACAGTTTTCGATTTTAACCGCTTTTCCAAATAGTATTATAATTTTTCCTTTAAATTAGGATGGCTCGTTAGTTAGTTTTTGAAAAGCAATTGTTACTTCTGCTCTGACAGGCGTAAAGTACGGTCGACGATTAATAAATCGCTAAATGAACACGGGAGTCGTTCTTTTAAAAGAAAATGTGGTTCTGCTCTAGAGAGCAGTGGTTCTGTGACAAAAATTGTGGGTGGCCTTTTAACTTCACTGATTCATTCTTTGAATCGTCCTTCTCAACTGGGCAGAATGTAAGCTTAAGCTCTGATGTCTCTGCGGAATCTTCTCCTCGCTCTGCTAATGGCTTCTCTAAGTGCTTACTATTAAATACGAGGAGTATTCGAAACAAGATCAACGACCTAAATGCTCTGTTATTAATGGACTCCTTTGACATTGTTGCCTTGACGGAGACTTGGTTAGACAATGAATTTGATGACCGTGATCTACATCTTGAGGGTTATAGTATCCATCGTCGGGATAGACGTGGTAAGCGTGGTGGAGGAGTGTTGCTCGCAACTAAATCACACCTGCCATGTGTACGGAGACACGATCTTGAGGTAAATGCGGAGATGCTAGCCTGTGAATTAAAGACCAGTAATACACGATGTCTATTATTTGCAGTTTTTTACAGACCACCAGACGTCGAAGAGACGTTCTTGGATGAATTCAGGAGATTTCTCAATAAAGCTTCTGGTACAGGAATCGCTGATTTAATTATCACTGGCGATTTTAATTTTCCCTGTGTCGATTGGTCTACTGGATCACCAACTAGTTTAGACAATTTGACTGAAACTTTTTGTGAAATCCTGGATGACCATTTTCTCACCCAAACAAACCCTTATATCACCCGTCCCAGTGCCACTAATACCTTATCATCTGGTAACATCTTAGACCTTGTGTTGACGAATCATGAATCACTCATCGAAGGAACTACTGTGCACCCAAATGGATTTGATTCAGACCATTTCCCAGTCTGTTTCGCGATCAAGAAAAAGTTCAACAGGCCCAAAAACAGTCAAAGATTAGTTTACCGATATGATAAAGCTGACATTGATGGTCTAAGAAATACATTCTCTCACATTTTATGGGATTCCTATATATCTTGTGAGGACATTGACTCAGGTACGGCGAATTTCCAAGATCTTGTTCTCGCGGCAGTCAATCAACATGTACCAAAGATGAAGCTTAGACGCAAGCCAAGACCTCCATGGATAGATAAAGAGGTCTTAAAGTTAGTGAGGAAAAAGAAAGTCTTGTGGAAGCGTTTAAGGGCCAATGCTTCTCTTGAGGTGACAACAAAGTTTAAATTTCTTAGGAAACAGACCAAACGTCTTATCTCCTTTAAGTATTTCCAGTACTTAAAGTCTCTATCGGATAAGCTGAAGACTAATCCAAGGAAGTTTTGGTCTTTTCATTCTCTTAAATCCAAGAGCAAGAGACTGCCAGAAGTAATAACTTACTCTGGCAAAGCCAGGTCTGCTAAAGATCCTGTGGAAAAAGCTTCCCTGTTCAATGAATTCTTCAGCTCCGTGTTCTCTACAAAAACATAAAACTCTGACAGCTCTCATGTTGATGTGATCAACCCTAACTTATTGATGGATGTATTCACTTCGTACAGTGAAGTAAAGAATATCCTCTGCAACTTAGACATTAATAAAGCAACTGGAGTAGACGGCATTCCTGCGAGGATATTGAGGGACTGTGCAGAGGAGCTATCTTACCCATTGGTTCTACTGTTTAACTTGTCGTTCAGGTGTGGGAGAGTTCCTTCTTCATGGAAAAGAGCTAATGTCACTCCTGTGTTTAAATCAGATGCTAAAGATGTGGTAGAGAATTATCGATCTATATCCCTGTTATCGATTCCAAGTAAATGCCAAGAGAAGATTGTATATAATGCCATATATCCTCATGTGGCCCCTTACCTGACAGATTGGCAACATGGTTTCATAAGGGGTCGCTCGTGTGCTACCCAGTTGGTATTAACACACCATCAGTGGACAAAGGCCTTGGATGAAGGACTACAGGTGGATGTTGTGTTCTTAGATTTTTCTAAGGCATTTGACAGAGTATCACAATATATTCTCCTTCTGAAGTTGTGTAATTTCGGCATCTCTGGTAGCCTACTAAGATGGTGCGAGGATTATTTGACCCACAGAGAGCAAAGGGTTGTTATTGAGGGACAGAGTTCTGCCTGGTCTGTCATCCCATCCGGTGTACCACAGGGCTCCCTACTAGGGCCATTATTTTTTGTAATATTCATTAGTGATTTGCCTAATGTGGTTATGCCTGGAAACACAATCGCACTGTACGCAGATGATTGTAAAACATCAAGACTGATAAACTGTACATCAGACCAACATGATTTTCAATCTGACCTGAATAATCTACACATCTGGAGTCAGCGAAATCTAATGGATTTTAATGTAAAGAAATGCAAACTGATGCGTATCACGAAAAAAAGTATGCCTTTTCGTTCTGACCTTAAGCTGAATGAGAGCTCTCTGGAAGAAACATCTGAATTCTGTGATCTTGGATTAGTTACTAGTAACAAGTTGTCCTGGAATGCTCATGTTGATAAGATATCAAGCAAGGCTAACAAGATTCTTGGCCTTATTAAAAGGACATGCAAGGGTATGAAAGATGTTAACACGTTAAGAAGGTTGTACTGTGCTTTGGTAAGGTCCCAATTGGAATACTGTACTATTGTCTGGTCACCCTTCACGGCTAGAAACATTAACAGATTGGAAAGGATTCAGCGAAGAGCCACCAAGTTTATTCTAAAAACTGATGATGATTACAACACTCGTAAAGAACAACTGAACCTGTTATCTCTAGAGGACAGACGCTTCTTTTTTGATGTACTATTTTTTTATAGAGTTCTTAATGGGTATATTAATATAGATATATCCTCTTATATCCAATTTTATTCGCATTCGGAAAGATACTCGTTGAGGGGTAAGGACGAACTTAAATTAAAAAAGAACTACGCGAGGACTAATACTTTTAAGTTTTGCTATTTTAATAGGATTGTCCACATGTGGAATGGGCTGCCACTATCGGTCCGTCAGGCTCCAAGTGTTTCTTGTTTTAAAAGGGGTGTAAGGGATTACTTGACTGCAAGATCTGATTGATTTTAGTTTGGATTTGTTTTTTTTTTTTTTGTTAAAGGTGGTCTGCCGTGCATGGGGATTTATCTCTTTTGCGGACCATCCTTATGGCACCTTTCCTTTTACTCTTTTGTATTATTATCTATTAATGTAAGTATGTAAGTAAGTAGTAAGTTATATGTGCCATTAAATTGTAATAAATTAAATTAAATTAAATTAAATGTTGTTCCGTCGGGCGCGCGTTGATGTTCAAAGGTCGTTCCACGTGAATTCACATGTAGCATAATCCTTGACTTTGAACTTGACTAGCTGCACAGTTTTCGATTTTAACGGCTTTTCCAATAGCATTAAAATTTTTCCTTTAAATTGGGATGGCTCATCAGCTAGTTTTTCAAAAGAAGTTGTTACTTCTGCTCTGATAGGCGTAAAGTACGGTCGGCGATTAATAAATCGCTGAATAAACACGGGAGTCGCTCTTCTATGCTAATTTAATATTTTAGCCGGCTTTTTACTGCCGTGTCTGCGAGGCAAAAACATAACTTAAGATTGTTTTTCCAGTAAAACACGATGTATAAAAAAGAAAAGATACGTTTTTTTTTGTGATTGTTTTAGAAACGGGTATAAACTCTATAAGTCCCGCATTGTCCTTGGTGTCGTGACAAGTTATTACGTATCACGCACTAAAAATAAAATCGACCGAATCCACAAAAAGCTCATTTGTCTTGAACATTTCACCGATAGGTTTTCATGAACATAAAAACAATAAATAAATGCACATAGTTCTATTTGACTCGTTACGAAAACAGTTTGTTTAATTTTTAATAATTAACTGACTGATTTATTAATTTGGGCGACCAACTAGGAGGCCCGGGCACCTCAGCTAAAATGTTTGGGAGCCCGAAGGGCTCCCCGAAATTTTGATTTGGGCGACCATCTTTTAGGCCTGGGCACCCAAGCTAAAACGCTTGGGAGCCCGAAGGGCTCCCTGAAATTTTCCTTAGAGCACAGCCTTCAAATCAAACTCGCCAACAACAAAAGCAACAAGGTATGTAGACATGACTGGTGTCCTGGCATACTTCACTACTTTAAGGGAGGTATCCTCGGCATGATCTTTCTCCTCTTTTACATTCTGAAAACAGAAATTTGTGTACGACATAGATGTCCTTTCCATTTCAAATTGACTTTACAGGTTAATAAGAGAGGTTGCTAGTCTTGAAGAAATGAGTATTTGACCCCAAAAATGACAAGCATCTAATCTCTCATTACAAAATAAAACCTGAAAAACACATCAAGATCAAGAAAATAATGGAAATGATCACCAACTAAAGATCGTGATTGTTAAACAAATTCTCCTTGTTATCATCATTTGGAAATGTCTAGAGAACAGTAAGGAGAATATGCATTCTGATGTTAGGTGGAATTTAGCTGAAGTTCAGTTACTTTCTTCTTACATTATCTGTTGCAGGGTGTTGTGGACCTCATGTTGTTTCTTTTGTTTTTGTTTTTTATTTTTTACCAGAAAAATTTCCCTCTTATTGCATATCAAAAGGTGAATTAAATATGAGATAAAGACTTGTAAGCTCTTCTCATTAGGATATCCTTTCTGTATAGGACTTGAATTTTGACTACAAAGTGTTAGGGTGTAAACAAGTAGAAATAAGCAATAATTGTAAAGGAAACATGTGGCTTGTGACGTAGGTCACACATCTGGGATAGTTAAAAATAGTTGTTGTTGTAGGTAGTGAAAAAAAACAAGAAATACATTTCTTGAAGAGTTATTTGTTTTACTGCTTCCTAATGTGGTTCTTGAGGCACAGGTAACAAAAGCACCCTTGGTGGTAGACAACCTTAAATCAATTCTGTCACTAAATCAATGAAAAATATTCTAAAGTTATCGTACAGTTTGCTAGCAACTCTAAACTCAAGGATCCATATCCTGTTCAAAAGTCAGCTTGTAAAAACCTCACAGTCACCATAGGCTAAGGGTTGTTACACAAACAATAGATTGAACTAGTCTAATTTACAAATTATTCCATTACTGAGTTGTATTTACCATATTGGATAAAGCCACTCTGTCCTTTGGAACAATCAAGGTGATATCAAAAGTGGCACGAATGGCTGGTTCATCCCAACAAGGAAATGCTCTACGAGCCCCTGTTGGCTGTATACAGTAAAACATAACTTAATATGATTGTACTTAGAAATCAAGTTCATCTAAACGCCATCTACAGTACAAAATACGTAACTACTGGAATTCATTTATCAATGCATGTATCATCAGCTAAAGATTCTCCCCCAAAGTTGACCATCAGGGATAGCGCTTCTAAGTGAAAGAATGATTACCCCGGGCCTGTAATTCCATCACACAATAACTACTTAAAGGTTATCAGCAATAGTAAATTTCATGAGCATTCCAACAACAATCCAAAATGTTCAACATTACAAGCATTTAACCCTTTAATTCCCAAGATCTGATTGTTAATTCTCCCCTGTAGCTGCTACACATTTCCTTGTATATAAGTTAGAAGAATTTGGTGTCAGATCATGACAACAACTTCTACCTGATACATTTGAATATTCTCATTACCTGTGTGGTGGATAGTGCATGGATATTGTAGGAAGAAGTTACTTTTCAATCACCTCTGGGAGTTTAAGGGTTAAAATACATGACTACGGATATAGAACAGCTCTACAACAATGCAAATACTTATAACATTTTTTTAAAATAAAATCCTGGAGGTTTCATCACTGACAGAGATAAAGTACTGTTATTGTTAACAACTGGTTCAAAGAAACTTCATAGCCTGATCACCATATAATATTACATGTGCAAATAATTATACTGTAACTGACATGTGTAAACAAATTTTCAGTGCAGTGCAAAATTTGCAGGACTGGTTGTAACTGACTAATTAAAACAATTCAACCACTGATCAATTATGTGACTATAGGAAAATTACTTAACCTCAAAATGAGTGACAGCACAGAACTTCTCACTGCCATCCTCCCCAGTATATTTACATCTGTAAAATCCTTTCAATTTGTTGTTCAGTTCTCCAGTGAAGTCCAAGCATAGTTCACCTTGCCCCAAAGGAAGAGGTGATTCAAAACTTATTTCCACCGTTTCATCCTCAACACAATGAGAGATATTTGAGGAAGGGTAACCTAAAAAAAGAAACATTGCCTTGTTAAACTGTTGAAGTTAGCCTTTAAGTAACTTTGATTAAATGGATGATTTAAGTAAGGTCTTGCACTTGAAATGAAAAAGAAACATTGTACTTCAAGGTCTCAATTAAATCATCCATTAAATTAATTTGTTAATTAATTCATTTGTTGTGGAAGTTGTGGTGACCTTGGACCACAGTGCCCTCTCTTCAATTCCTGTGGTACTGACAAAGATAATTTTTCAAGAATCAGGGGCTTCTAAGAGCTTCTGCTTGTCCTGGAACTCTCTCTCTCCCCTACACAAGTCCCTTAGAGAGCATTTTGGTTTTGCATTCTGTCCCCTTTCCAGTCCATCAACATTCTCTGGGAAAAAAACATTTTTGGATCACAAGTTCATAAGCTTATGAGGTTTCCTAACCCCTAGAGATTTCCCATGTCCCTCCCACTGATACCTGAGGACATTTTCCAAAAACTGTAACACAATTTTAATTTAAAAAAATGTAGATTATCAATTTTACTTACCCCATATCCTCAAATAAGTGCCCACACTCTGATAAACATCTGCCACCAAATAAACACCCCCCTTCCTTCTTCATCAGTAGGGATAATAACTGCCCCCCTTAACAAAGCATCCTCCATCCACCCTCCCATAAGCACCCCCCCCCCTTTTTTGGGCAAAATTTTAAACAAGCACAGCACCCACATCTTTATTTGAGATATAAAAGGTTAGCCATTATTGAAGCAGTGTCATAATGTAGCATAAAATTCTGGTAGAGAGTTATAGTACTTACTTTGTTCTCCAAAACAAAAACTGGCTGAGGTAACATTTACATCAAGACAGTTGATAATCACTTTGTTGGTTTCTTGTTTTACCTAAGATTAGAAAGTAAAAAAAAAAAAAGCAATTAAAAATCTTCCTTAAACAGAGAAAAAAGAACAAAGACAGATTTTCCACTTCCACAAAGGTGAAAATTCTAGCAGGATTGTTAATTGTTAAAAGAGACTTCTGTGTTGCACCAGCCTGCATATGAAACAGTTAGTGTGTGATCACCAATAAGCTAGAGACATAAGTTGAGGATTTTTTTTACCACTGCTTCAGTGTATACTTTTATGCCAAGAGTTTATAGCTTTAGGCCCTAATGGAACTGTCCTAGGTACGTGATCGTAAAATTTAGTCACCACCGCGCCCTTAAACGGCAAAAGGGGCAGGATTAAGCGGGGGGGGGGGGGGGGGAGAGGAGAGGAAATTGTTCTAGCATCTCCTCAAGTTAAAAAATTCTTCACATTAACATCAGCAAAATGGCATAGAAACTGTAAATGTAAAAAGGGAATTAATATTGTATTCATGTACTGGCTATCAAACCTCATTGAAGTATTACCTAATCTCACATTTTTCAGAAATCACTTGATTATCATACAAATATTTTGGCATGTCCGATACCCAAAGGAAACAAACTTTTAATCAAAGATAGAATTCAACCCGCACGTGTACACAGTTACATATTATATATATTTCTTTAATCCTGCCACGGTTATATTACCTCCACATCGATAACTTCTTCTCCAGTAAAGGTAAATTCTGTAAGATTTGGCTGCAAAGTCAGTTTGTAGTTCTTTGGCAGCACGCTTGTGGGAAGTCGTTGAAAAGGTTTCTTTACACTGCTCATTGTCGTTGTGACAATGCTGAAGCGTGTAATGGAAGACACAAAAACTGTTACCCTAGCTCCAAGGAAGCAAGAAGACCGAAAAAGAAGCCTGGAAAGAATTGTGATCGTAATTTGCTAGGAAGAGAAGTTAAAACTGTAATCGTGCTCACTTCTAGGAACTGTTCACCCCAGTGCCTTTCAGATTCCGTCACGCATTTTAAGATTATGTGACAGCTTGAAGGTAACGCAAACGGCTTTCTCTTTGTGACGGGAAGTTTTTTTTGCGGTAAAGCTCAAAACAGGGTGGTTTAATCAACAGGATACCTTTACTTGAATCTAAGCTTTGGGATCGAAAGTCGTAAGTTTTCTTCTCCCCACTTTTGATTCCTTTTATAGAGTTCTGCGAAAAGATAGTTATTCTATGTTTCCCTTAGAAATTTTGGGCGGGAAATCGACGCGCAACTGGCCAAAATTGATCTCACTCGCGCGTGCCCGACGTTTGACCGCTGTGTTAAGAGCGAGTGGTTGTTGCTACGGTTGTAGCCAGGAACTGTTCTCTTCAAAACCGCTTTGAAGAAAAATTTATTTGACTGGAGCTTCACTCTAGTGGCGACCAGCTTGCGTTTTTTGGGGAGATAGGTGGGATTTCCGCCATTCTGTCTATCTTTCTTTCGTTTCAATCAAGGCGTCGTCCAGGTTAGAACTAAGCCCCTTATCTTCCTCAGGAAGTCACAATGTCACGAAACGCTTTACCTGCTTCTTTCGGGGAAGATTTGCAAGGAATCCTAAAGAATAGTTGCGAAGGTGATTATCTAACCACAGGTGAGTTTCCACTGCATTCTAGAGGCATAAGTCAGTGTAAAAACATCTTGCTGGAAAGTTTGACTTTAATTATAAGCTTAACGTCTAAAATTCACTCAAGCAAGTTTGCAGAGCTTCTTTCTTCTCCTTATTTCTATCGCTTAGGGATACATAATGGTTCGAAGGATTTTTTTTTCTCTTTTTTTTCTTAAGGGAGTGGGTTTAACATAAATTTTCCCCCTTAAGGGTGAAGGGGGTGGGAATCAGGTTAATTCTATTGTGACATAACTAAAATCCTCCAACCCCTCCCAGGTGATAAATAATGACCGCTGCCTTTCTGCGCGTGACAAAAGACAACGGAGAGGACACATCTGCATGCAGGCTTTTTAGCACAAAGTAATCATCCTGGGCGAGGACTTTTCGTCGCGTAATTTGAACTGATTCTCTTTCTACTAAAAGTCTGTGCTAAGAATGAACATCGGTTTGTTTGGCGCGGGTCTCATGTATCTAATATCCTTTTTCCTTAAGCCATGCGCTGATCTTCTCTGATTCGCGCCCAAGCCATGCGCAGTTGAGTCGTATGTTCTCCAAGGACTGCTGAATGGTCCTCTCTGCAGCTGGAACTGAACGATTGGCGAAGAATTCCTAAAAAAAATAATACGATAAAAGGGAAATCCTCGGCCTCTCACTACGCCAGCGAAATTTGACAACGGCGTTTTCATTCTTTTTTTTAACGCCAACTTAAGTTTTCCGTTCACACTGGGAAACAGTTAAAATATTTTACACCACAGCAGATAACTTTGAAGACCAAAAAATCAGTGGCAAAATAAGTTTGGTTATATCCTTAACATGCGAATAACTGGATCTAATAATACAGCCAAAACATAACAATAACATTGAAAAAGCTTCGTTCAGCCTCCTTTCCGCGAGGGAGAAAGAAAGGAGCGTGGTAAGGAGTTTGGCCTCGTTTCGTCTTCTTCACTACATCAGTGAGCAAGCGCATAAACAGGGTATGTTGACCCAGCAAAAAATATGATATGAACAATGCCGTCGTTTTTTTATTTTTTTCTTCTTCTTCTCTTTCTTTTTTTCGTATTTTTTAAAATTCTATTTCGTTGCAGCGTTATGTCAGCTGGATATGAATGCAAAAGGAAAAGAATCTATACGACAAATCATAGAAAAAATAGAGTTTAGAAAATTTGCTCAAATAACTGAGTGAATGAGTAGCTCACCTCGACTTCTTTGGCGGCCTCTTCAGTAACAAACATATCTGTAGTGGACTGTAATAAAAACGAAAAAAGAATAAGTAAATAAATGAACTCGTTATGAGGCCGACATTTCCCCGGGCATAAGTCATCCGACTACAAAACCAAATATAACCAGCGTGTTAAAAATAATCTTCCTACTTTTGAGAAATGTCAGTTTAATAACTGTTTGGTTTTGTTCTACTCTGCTACGAACATTTGTTAGGAAAACTGGCGCTAACCTTTCGTAGATCCACTACTAAAATCGAACTTCGGGCAGTTAGCATGCCTTAACATTATGTTCTATCCGACTCCTAAAACGTTTTTCCTTTAGTTTTATTAGTCTTTGTGATTCCTTACGTTTTGGTTCTAAAATACTTTATCTAAATGTGCTCTAGGAAATAAGAGACGTTATCCAACCTTGATCAGGCGAGAAAGCAGGAAACCTCCTTCGTAGCGATTGTACAGCTCGTCCCAGTTCTCTTGCACAAATTTCCAGGCCATTTCACGCCCTTTCACACTACACATTAGCGAAAGAAAAAAAATTAACGAACGTTTTCAATCTTCACAAACCATGATGACAAATAATAAAAAATAGAAAAGAACCGCTACCTTCCACAGATGCCAGCAATCACAAACACTGTGTCTTGAGACCGAACTTGGTCCTAAAAAAAATGTATTTTATTAGGTACTACGCTGTATAACGATTTTGAAAGACACATACAATTCTTAACCCTTTACACCCTAATGTCAGTATGCATATTATCCACACTGTTCTTTATACATTTCCTAAGGTGCTGACAAGGAGAATTTGTTTTCTGATCAAAAGCTTCTTTTAGTTGGTAATCATTTCTTTCATTCTCATGACCTTAATGTGTGATTCAGGGGTAATATTGTTGGGAGAATTTAGATGCTAATCACTCTTAGGGTTGAAAGGGTTAAAGCTTGTAGTCAGATACCATAAATGGTTTCCGCACTGCCTTGACTCAATCTATGTAAGACAGGACTGTGAACGAGATTTTCGATTGAGTATGGAAGCTTATCTAGGATTGCAATGGCTTCGCTCTGTAACTGGCCACAATGTCAGCCTATCAGATGCAGAAATAACACCACGCACGATTGTTTCTTTGAATTCTCCTGCGCTTAGGGCAGCCTGCTTGTGATAACTGTGAGTTCTCATTGGTTACTTGAGGTATTTTCCATTGTTTTTATTAGCCATTGTATCACTTCCAGTTTGATTTTCCGTCACGCAATAGAGATGCACTTAATAGTCTTACAAAGTTTCTGTTGCGAAAGTTACATCTGATGTGATCATGGAGTATTTGAGTATAGGCAAATTAGAAGGCATGTAATGGTAATAACGGTGAAAAAAAAATTACAACGTACCGACAAGGAGAAGTCGCACACTTTCCTGATCAGATCAGGTTGTGATACAGGTTCCATACATTTCATCAATCGGACTTCAGTCTTCGTGCAGATCAGCTTCTTTCAAAAGTTGCATCACAGACTCCAAGGTGTTACCATCACCATGCTTAAGCACTGTGCTGTACACCACTGACCTTAAGTCAGCCGGGATGGTGGATTCACCTTTACAGTGTGCTTCAAATCTCTTCTGCGCCTCTTTGACAGTGGCTGGGTGGCCATATTTACCCAAACGTCCGATTATCAAACCTCTGAGGAGGGTATCAAGGTGACCTGACATTGAATAACACGCTTAGTAAGGGTCATCCACACACATAATCCTTTCACTTCTATGGTTGACTAGGTTCTAATTCCTCCTTAAAGTATATCCCCTGAATCACACATTGAGGTCACGGAGAATAAAGAGAAAGATCAACCACTACAGTAGCGCTTGATTCTGAAATAATTTTTCCTTTCAAGCACAGTGTGAACAGTGTGAATAACATGCATACTGAAGTTAGGGGGGTAAAGCACTAGATGTTTTCAATATTTTTTACAGAATACTTGACACAAAATATGCTGCTTAACAACTTCAAGCTTACTGTTCACACACTGAGTTTTGGTTTTATGGCCTTAAAAAAAGTTTCACTCATTCTTTGAAGTTAATGGTTGTGCTGTAGGGCTATGAATGAAACAAAGAAAATAAACCAAAAGAGAGCATGAACTTATGACACATCACCGAAACGTCAAGGTTCCCTGACACATCTTCCAAGGATAGGTGTTTTAAGTGGTGAGCGAAGCCGTCGATCGACAGTCGGCCGACGAGTGGCCGACAGTTGGCCGACTGCACACAGATGCTTTGGTCGACATATCAGCGAGTGTGATCGGATCCGTTGTCACTACCGGAAAAAGAAAAGTATCTACGAAAATCACAAAACAAAGAGGAAAAAAAACAGACTTACTCTCTCCTTCGATTGGATTCCAACCAAGTTTGGTGCTGATGGGTTCATAAAGTTTGGTGCAAAACGCCTGGAGGCTTGGGTAACAGTGAGAGTATCGGAGAATTGCTCCGGCAAGACTCCTGTTGGAAATCAAGTCATTCCATACAGTGTAGTTTGTCTCGTTGCTAAATGCCTCGACCACTTTCAGCACATCAGGCCCGGGCAGAAGGCCAGCACGATATTACAGAGAACAAAAGTAAACATTAAAGTGATGAGTTAAAAATCTTGAGTCACATTTAAGAAGTTTTCAATCGAGTGTTGGATTGAACTGGTTTTGTTTACTGTGCCATATGATTGATACAAAAAAACTCGACCCAACCTCTCAATCAATCACATTTAAAAGTAAAGCTAGTCGCGAACTGGTCACTCGCGTTTCCCCACGCTTTAGGCGGTTTGCTTGTTTTTACTTTGCGCTCTCATTGGCTGCTTGTGATACTTTCCTTTCCTCCGATTGGCTGTTGTGATTGCCCTGACTTTCGTCAACAGCACTCATTGCATCTTTGCTACTCTGAGAATTCGTCTATCATTATATTCACATGGCGAAAGCAGAGCTAAATGGGAAAGTTGCTTAATGCCTAAGGCTATTTTGGAAAAGCTTAGTAAACCAAAGAATCTCAAAACGTAGTAAGAACAAATTTTTACACACAATTTTAAGTGGCGAGGGTAAACATTGTGCGATTTCTGGAGCACACTGTTTCACCACTCTCATTCTATAGCTATCCTGCAG